CTTTTGCAATTAAGCCATGGGGCGTTGCGAATGAAGATGCCAGGCATTCTTACGAAGTTATTTCAATTACATGTGTTGCGATTCTCTGACAAATTCTTTCGTGCCTTTTTGTCCTTCTGCCATCTGAAAGTGAAGGGACAATATTTCGGTTGCTCTCAGTGCAACTGAAATCAATTTTCTCCCCATTCTCGCTGTCTTAATTCAATTCCACTCGGTCAGTTGGATAGTTTGTCCGTGTCAGGCGGTGCAAAGATATTTTCATATTGTTTGGGATATGATTTATTTGTGAATCAATTTGATTGCCAAGGAGCAAGCACACTGACCATGTCAATAAATTGTAATTGATTGGCTAATACTGTTGCATATATGGAAATGTGTGACTGGCATTTATGCTTAATGATTAATGTCTCATAATTGCGTCTGAATGGGACAATTTCTGTAGGTATGAGTGAACAGACAACACACATTGCATGCATGCAATATGTGATTTTGCCTCGCAACTTTTGTGCGGGAAAATGAGCTTCGACAGGTTCGAATTTCAAATGTTGCGTGGCAAATTTTAAAAGTTTCAATTCGTTTTTCACATGCACGAGCGCGGGCATTTCTCATTTAATTAACCCCAAATATCCGCTCCACTAAACCGAATTGGGCGCTCTGGCGAAAAGGGTGACAAGTATTCTGCGGCGCATTGTACTTTTTCCTTTTGCGGCTCATGTGAGGTTTGACACGTGAAATTAATTAATTACAATATGAATTGCAATTAGACGAGAGGCATTCTCTCCCTTTCCTCCCATCCCACTACAAACTAAACACACAACAATGTCGGGCACCACATCAAAGAACTAAAATAGAAGCCCTGAATTTGAATTTAAAACAGAAAACCACCAAAAGCGGCCACCGCAAAAGCCTGTTATCGGTGTCAGTGTTAGACGCGGTCGTAGTTTTGCACAGCAATTTGTGCCTTACCTTTGTTTGCTGCGGACATTCTATCAGAGTCGCCAATGCGCCCATAATGAATTTATGCAACAATAAGTGGCCTCCCAATGGTGCCTAATGAGGAAATTGGGAAATGTTTTGATGGACAAAAAGGAAGACCATCGTCAATAGATGAAAGCTCAAAGCATCCATTAGTGGATCGCCTGGACAAAACGATGCTCCGCTTTTTGCCTCGCACAGAGACTTCAAAGATGAATATCCTGTGCAACACACCACAAAAGAAGCCATCATTGCACTTTGCCATCCATCTGGAGGATCAAAGTTGCAATTGATAAAATTGCCCGCAGAGTGCATGAAAAGTGACTCTTTATCTACACGGGAAAACATCCAACAATTTGCGGTTGGGGAGTTTCTCTGCGAATGCGAGAGCGTCTCATCGCCAGAAAGGTAAAATGTGTACCAAATTCAATTTCTCCACTCTGACATTATGTATATATTCCTCATCTAACAATGAAGTATGACTGCTAGACTTTCCTTCTGTATTGAATTAAAAGCAATTTCAGCACATGAGATTTCATTACACTGAATAGCATCGCATTTCGAAGGCAAAACTATTGAATGCGCTGTGAGGATATATTTCAAGTAATTTCCACCAGCACCAAGTCCACATACGCCAGTCTCATTGCTACAATTTTCCTCCCACGTCGCACCGAAAATTCCCCGCATGCAATTAAGAGCGGAGGGAAATTTATATGCAGAATAGTCTTTTCGGGTGCGATTCGTTTGTCAGCAAAAAGTGTAATTGATCAGTTAAACTGGACAATTGAAGAGCTCCTCCATATATCACTGACCTAGCGCTCGCATTGCAATCTTGGGAAAGCTCTGTCGGAAATTTAATTTATCGTCTAGACAAAGAGAGTGAGCGCTCTTTAATGGTGGGTCAAGTGGCGCCGCATGGTTTATCTCTAATCCTAGTGCATTAAACCACAGTAAAAGTCGTGGTAATTTACAGCATTTTCCCACGCATTTCTTGAAAGCTTCCTCAGCACGAGCTTCCCGGAAAGCCTTCGTCTCTGGCATGAGTGTATTAAAGCTCAGCTGCGCTCAATCATTAATTTAAATTTCTATTAAACTACTTCCCAATCAGAAGAGACTCTTGACGAGCTCTTCCTTGGAATTAAATTGCACGAGTGTCAAATTGGGATAAACCATTGTGTTTCCTCAAAAGCTCTCGATGTATTAAATCGCAGAGAACATTTGCGTAATAAGTGATTGTGAAGATTTTGTATGATGAAGATCAGGAATATGTTGAGCACAAAGTCAAGTTGTGGCGCACAGAGTGAAAAAAAGCTCATTAAGCTAATAAATTCGCGCGTAAATTAATTGAGTAAAGCGGATAAAAATTAAACTCGCAAAATTTGATTTATCATCATTTCACAATGGCATTGTAAATAAACTGTGACCAATGTAATTTGGCGCTCATTCGAGTGAGTTCATCTCATTGATTTGCTCGCATGGTTAATTTTTCCGTGCGGCGCGGCGAAAAGGGCGCGAGTCATTTTTCAGTATGAAAGCTTCAAATGGAATTAAATAGCAATCATTTGGGGGATTGTTTTTACTGCAAACACGCGCAAGGAGCTCACCAAATGGCCTCTGGAGGTGAGATGAATAATTCAATTTACCATGGATTTTCTCAGGAAATCCAGTCGCGCGAGAAGGAGAAAGTTTCTCGCGACGTCACATCTCTGTGAAAATGATGGACAGAATTAAATAAGAAACTCTGGGACATTCAGTACTCCAAGCAGAGCTTTAAAGTGTCTGCAATGGAGACGTTTCCGACTGGGGTAAATAATTCTCCGCGTGCGCGAAGATTTAATTAATGGTGGGAATGAGTGAAGAAATTAATTGCTTAAAGTGTCAATGAGGAATTCTATGCGAATATTCATTAATTTTGGACAAATTGAAGTGCTGTAAGCTGCCCATGAGCCGCGATTGCGTTTTCAGCCTCAAGTGAAAGGAGAGGATTTAAATGGGGGGAAACAAATTTCTATATGACAAATTCATCATTCCCAATTTAATCATCGAGAGACACAATAAATTCTGCCATCATTACTGAAAATTGTCGTGTATTTAAATCATCAATTAGCGTGAGAGATGAATAAATTTATGGCTCGTCAAGCCACAAAAGATTTTATGAGACGCGCGGCTTTAGATGATTTTTACTCTTGCTCAGCAGCAAAAAAGCGCACATTTATTAATGAATTTTCGGCAATTAAATTGACGTATCCCTGCTGAATGGCGAATGCCAGAACAAAGCCCCCGATTTTGGGTGGCTGTAAAATGCGATTCGCAATATCGTAATTGGTCGTAAAAGTGTAAAATTTCCGGAAGCACAGGATGAGAGATGTTTATTGACATGTTTGGGAAACGTGTGACAAACAATATTTTGAGGGAGGAAATGCCGATGGGCCCGAACTCACCCTCGCCCGCTGGCCGCCTCCCCTTTTATTGCCCAGCGCTCACAGATCATAAATGTTGGAGAGGAAGCCACTCCGTATAATTCAACTGTGGAAATGTTTTATGTGGCCATTCGGTGAATTTAATTAATGACCCGCAGGTGGACGAAAGGCATCCCGGCGGACGTCGAATGGACACGTCCTTGCGAGGGTCGCTTTAGTGGATAAGGAAGCACTTAAAAACTTTAAATGACTATTTGAGAACTTCCGCAGCAGAATTAAAAGCTAAACTTTGCAGGCCATCAGGAAAATCATTCCCACCATAAATAAAGCAACGGCTGGTGGATTAATTCTGACCACAGACGCGAGACTCAATGTCTTGCCGCACAACATTTGAAGCACTGCAGTGTGGACAGATTATTGAAGTATTTCTCTTAAAGTTGTGGTTAAATTGTACGTAAAAATTATATGGGAAAGTGTGTTTTTCAGAGTAATGTTTGTATCAATCAATTGATATATTTTACGCCGAAAATTCTGCCAAAGAAATATCCCACTTCTGACACCAGTTGGTACATGTTTCTTATTTCCGCGCTTATCTTTGCACGCAAAATTGCACAAGATTTTGTCGATTTGGCAATCGAGAAAGTGCATTAACTTATGATGATTGCGTTCGCAATCGACACCAATTGGTCGTCTTAGTGTCCACTTACCAAGTGTTCTCAGGACATGTAAGTAACACCGATGACTGGCTGAGGAGTTATCAATGGGAGCTGAGTGATAAGAAGCAGCAGTGATTGACCGCAAATAAACGAACTGGACGCAATGAAACTTGCTCGAGACAGTCTGTGAAAATTCAAAGGGATTTCCTATTGCAGCTCACTTCTGTGGAAAGTTAGATAAGAGAAAGCATAAAGGCATGCACCTTGTGTAACACAACTACGTTTTCCTGCACTGTTCAATGAGACAGATTAGATTTAGAATTATACAGAGTGTATTGCATCTGTGACATGGTTTTGAGCCTTGTTCAGTGTTTATTTTATCATATTTCAAAGCAAGTCGATTTCTCGCTTACACAAAGATTATCACATTCCGCTTTGTCCCCAGAAATTTGCGCTTGTGGTGTGTAAATTGTTACTGAAGAAGTGTACTTTTCAGCAAATGTTACTTCAAAGACACCCAGAAAAGGACATTGCATTGAGTAACCCCACTTACAGTGTCTCTTGCGAATAAACTCTGCAATGTTCTCCCCCTACATAATGCACAGGACAGCATGACACATGGTGTGGAGGAAATACAAGTCACAAATATTGGAGAATCCAATCGCCGAGATCGATGTCTTTCGTGCCTTTCGTGTGTGGGTAGGAATCCACTTTCCCGCTCCATTTGACATGCAATGTAATTCAATTTTGCCATATTTCTTCAAGTAAACTACAAAGTGGAACAAGTAAACCGACATGAGAAAGGATAAAAGTCACTGGCAGTGATTCGCCGTTGGTGCTTTAAATGTGTCGTGCAGCATATGCTGCGCGACCGCCTATTCGAATACTCTTGCAGCGTGTGTTTTGCGTTGAGAACTTCAGTGTGATAGGAAGTGTTTTGATTCCCGGTGCGTGGAAAATGTTCTCAGGGAAAAGTGATCTGTCTAAGGTGCAATCCTTCAGGACAACTGTCCAAACTTCTTCATGGCTCTCCCAGCTGTTGGGCGCGATAGAGCAGAAGTCGTCCGGGAAGCAGAGTCCTGATCAGGAAGTGGAGACACTTATGACGCTCTGCCTCTCGGAAAATGTACTCTTGAGCCTTCAGGCGACGCATCTCCTGGTCAGGCTGGCTGAGAAGGAACTCCTGCCGCTGGCACAGGTGCGCACAATGCTGCTGTCAATGCTGCCCAACGCCGAAGGGCATCGCTTTGCGGTTGTGGTGAACGGCATCAGTGATTTGCTCCTGATCGAGCTCCGGACGCAGTGCCGGAAGGGGAAGTACAGCTGCCCGTATGGGCTGCAGCATCCGGAGCATCCCTTCATCGCCGTACTGAATGCCAAGCATGGGCATGGCCACGAGATCACCGCCAAAATCAAGGAGATCTTCAACCACCAGGACAAAGAGTAACTATAGAATCTTCCTAAAGATCAAAGCAGAGGAATAATTCCGTTAATCCGTTGCTTTTCAGCGTCCAAAATGCTGCCGCAGAATTCTTGAGACCGGTTTTCCTGTACGCCCTGAAGAACGCACATAAGATTCCCAGCGTGAAGGAAATTTGGCTTCTGCTCGTGACGCAATCTTTCAAGTTTCAGCAGATGAATCAACTCTTCCAGGACTGTCTCATGTGGATGAGCTGTCAAAAGGCCAGCCTGGTCACGAATATGCTCCTCTGCGACGCCCTGGAAGTGGTGATGCACAAGAAGAAGACGGAAATCACGGCGCAAGTGCTGCTTATCTTGGCCGGAAGCTTGTCTAGTCAGCTGAAATTAGGTCTCTGCCCGAGATTTAGCTTCTCTCTCATCAATCGGATTCTGCAGATGGAGCAAATCGCTGCGATTGTGCCCAAAGGCGTCCTCTTGATGATCTTCATCGATCTCTTGGAGGACATTTCATCAATTTACGTAGAAGATTTGCTGAAACTCGTGACACTTTTGGTTGTGAAGATGAATATGAAGGGATTTCTTATCCATCACATGCTCCTGGACTCCCTGATGCTCAGATCGCAGGACAATCTCGTGTCCGGCGCCGCTAAGAAAGACATTGAGATGCTCAAAGAGTTCATCGAGCAGAAGAAGAACATCATGAGATTGGAAGATGTCGATTATGACTATGGAAAGTTCGCCAATATCCTGGACAAAACACTGGGATTCTATGTGGATTTGGAGGAGCCTCGCTGGATTGGCGAGTTTGCGCTGTTTGAGAAGTACTTTGACGATCTCACAACTCCGATTTCCTCTCTGAAGGCCATTAAGATTCCGGCTGTCGTGAAGTTTACCAGCAAAGTCTTCCGAGGAATGCTTTTGTGTCATCGCGAAGAGTACTTCGATGTTCCGGACTGGGCAGCGGTGATGAAGGAGTTGATGGACATCCTCCGCGAAAATGAAGACATTTCCATCAAGTTCCTGCAGGTTTTCCGGCTGGAGATGAAGCGGATCACGGACAAAGCTCTGAAACTGGAGCTTTTGCGTGGGATTGTCGAGTGCGCGCACTTCACAGTGAATGTGAAGCTCATTGTCGAGCTTATCCGAGCGTTTATTGATGAAACGGGAAGCCTGAGCGCGGACATCCTGAAGCTGTACTTGAGACTCTGGCAGATCGACGCCAGGACTTATCAGTATCTCTATGATCATCTGTCGCAGGTGCGTGGCAAGCCAGACAAGGAGCTGAACATGGCCAGAGCGAAGGCCATCAAGGCGATTTGCGAGAAGAATCCCACTCAGCACGGAAAGGATTTGGTCTCCCATCTCTCGGATGTCCTCAATCAGTCCTCCAGCTCTTCAGACGACGGAGAAGTGATATGCATCGTCCTGGACACGATAATTCTCCTGTGCGAGAGCAAAACCGTCAGCATTGTTGCGATCTGGAAGGCACTGGGCTTCATCTTTCGCTTCGAAAAGCGCGCCAATGTCACACAGAGTCTGTGCAAGTTCTTTGGAGACTTCCCAAAGTATCCTGCCACGTCGCCAGAGTACGTGAACATGGCCAAGGAGGTGTACGACAAGCTGTGGAGCATTGCTCTCAATCCGGAGATGAAGGAGGTGCGAGAGTTTGCCTTCAAAGCCATGACGAACTTCCCTTTGGACAGTATCAATGTGAAGCAAGTTCCTGAGCAGTTTCGACGCAATCTCAAGCTGCCAAAGTCCAAATTGGGTCCCGATGTCAATCCTCTGGACACCTTGACGTACATTCCGGGCGAGTGTTGGCTTGAATTGCTGCTGAACATCGACGAGAAGGCCAGAGACTTCGCTGCGGAGTTCGTGGCTGAGCACATCCGCACGGAAATTCGGGAATATCGTGGAGGAGTTTACAATGTTCCGGCGGGAAAAGGAGAGCCAGAAAATCTGTCTTCCCTTCCGCCAAAGAGCATCATTCGGCCGATCGTGCAGTTCGTGCATCAGCAGGCGCAGCTCACGTCCAGCGATGACTTTCATCTCGTTCTGTGTGTCAAAGTGCTGGCGCAGGACTTCCCAAAGCCCATACCGCCCGTCAATTGGTCTTGTTTGCATGAGATCTTCCATCGCTGCCTCGAGATTCGCCAGCATTGCGTTGCCCTGGCAATCAATCAGAGCGCAATCTCGGGATCGGCCAAACGATTCCTCTGCAACTATCTGGAGGGATTCGAGCCGAAGACGCCGGATGACAGACAGGAAATGGAAGCGGCATTCGACAGATTGCCCAAATTGCTGTCCAACGTCGATCATCCGCTGCTGATGAAGTTCATTCTGCGCTGCCTGAAATTCGTCAATTCGAATCATAGCGACAATTCCGTCCACGATAGAATCCGAAAGGCGATTCCCAGCCTGAGTGAGACTGATCTTGCATTCCTGGGCACGATTTTCATGGAGAGCACGTCGACAACTTGCAGTCAAAAGGTGAGTTTTCTAGACTCTGAAAAAATATGTAATCTTGCTGATTTTTTCGCTGACTCCTTTCACAGTTTATTCATGATTACGAGCGCTTCTTTGGACATTTAGAGGAGAAGCACTTGAACTTCGCCATGAACTTCTCCATGAGCACGAACATCGCCGTCCGGCGACACATGAGCTGTCAATGGGCGGGATTCTACAAGCAGATCAAGTTCCTCAACTCCATTCTCAAGCACATCTCAGATCTACCGGAGAAGTTTAACGGTACGAATCAGTGGACGGATTTCGAGGCCTTGCGCAGCAAATTGCGCGACACTTATGGAAAGTTCGATGTTGAGGACGCTTCTGTGGTGAATTGGTGTCTGCAAATCCTGGCCGACATGCAATTCGCGATCATGAACGAGCACGAGGAGGATTTCTACAATTACTGCAGCATCTTCACCGATGCAATCGTTCACATGTCGAAGTACAGCGTCATGGAGTGGATTATTGTGACTTATGATCGCTGTGAGACGATGGATGCCTTTCCACAGGGTTTGACGTCTCTCCTGGAGCGGAATCAGTGGAAGGACAATGCTGGACAGGTGAGAAATCAGTTTCCGAACACTCTTTCCTTATGCTTGAAGACTTTTTCTTCTGCAGATCTACAATTTCTTGCTGGAGTTCATCCAGATGCCAAACCTTCGAGAGGATGTGAGCAAATCTTTCAAGAGAGCCATCGTTCTGTCCAAGGATTTGCCGCACTTTCAGGAGAAGACAACCTGGGCCAAAGCCATGATGATAATCAGAAGTTAAGACATAGTGGAAAGTGATTATTTTGTCAATTTCTTACAAATTTTGTACTCTACTGGCTAAATATGCGAATGAATACTGCAGAAATGCACTTAAGATTACTGAACGGGAGAATAGGCAGCGTGTCTGTCGGGCTGGCTTTGCACACGTGGGTTGTGCCTCTGATTGTCCCGGATGGTTTGGTAGAGCGCCAGCACGCAAAACCAGAAGTAGAAGGCGAGAACTGCAAAGAAATCTGTTAATGGCACCGCAAATAGACTGCTGATTAGTATTATTAGCACTATTACCAATGTAAACACACCCAACGACGATTACTACTGTTCCCTGGGTCTCGCGGTTCTCCTTGACGGCCGTGGAGCCGTGGAAGAAGCAGTAGAGGGCAGTTCCGATGATGCCCAGCCACTGGAAGATCAAGTAGGGCAGAATTCGGCCTCGTTTCTCCTGCGAAAGTTGCAAGTTTTAGACGTTTTAACCTCCCATGTGACTCTTTCCCAGCAGATTTAGCTCACTTTCTTTGCTCCCGCGACGAGACAGATGCTGGAGATGAAGATTGCGATGTAGACGAAGATCCCGATGCCGAGGAGGATCTCAGAAATGAGGCGGAACAGGATGATCTCGTCCTCCAGTCGCTTCTGATAGTAATTCTGCACCACTGGACGTCCACGCCAGTTCTGGATCTCCATCTCGACAATCATCCAGATGCAGTAGGCGATGGTGGCCAGCGAGAAGAGGGCAGAGAAGACGCCCAGAACCATGCCGCCGATTCTCAAGTTCCAGCAGAAGCAACATTTTCGCATCACCGCCATGATTTATTGGGGGGTTCTTTTTTCCTGGAAAAATCAAGCAGAGAATTAGTTTATTTATATGTATTGTCATCAATTTCCCCACAAATCTCCATCGCATTGATCGCACTTCCATTATCGCAATGAATTGTAAACACCATAAGTTGCCCGACAACTGGAAATAGTGGAGAGTGAGAGATAATTCTTGCCGAATGGAACATTCTGCAAGATCGGTTAAATAAATATCTCTGTAATATGACCTTAACATGTCACAATACATCAGACAAGATATAAATGTGCGTCACACTGTAGCTCATCAACTGTATTTCCACTGGAACTCCACAATACAGTTCTACAATCTGTGTAGACATTAAAAAAATATATAATTGAGAACAGAAAATCACCAAAATAAAAACTTAATCTCACTGGGATTAAAGCATACAAAGTGCAATTAGAACTGCAAAATAATATCATCAAGCATTGTTCTTCTTAAGTACTAATGGTTAATGTTTCGAGGCTGTGCAGCTGAGGCTCGCCTAGGCCATTGACGAGTAAACTGCCTGCTGCTCTGGATAGGCGGTGCGGATCACGGCCGGCGGGCGCTCCTGCTCCTTCAGCAACTGATAAAGAGAAAGGACGCAGAGCCACAAGTAACCAGCGATTCCTGCAAAGATATTCAATACATATTTCCGGATGATATTTCAGCTCATAAAATAATTCCCTGCATTAGAAATGCAGGAAAAATCTATAATTGGTGTTTTGTGAAACATTTCCACCGAAGTTTGTGCTTCAGAAGGAAAAGGAAAGTATTTTTCAGGTTCAACGGTAGTAATTTATACTCAAACTCACTTGAGTGAGTTCAAATCTGACTCTCTGCATTGTAAATTAATTAAGATTTCTATTTTTCTGCGTTCCTCACCGAAACTGATGAGCGCCGAGAGAATTCCTTGGACAGGATTCTGGCTATTGAAAGCTGACAGCACGAAGAAAAGTGTGGTAAGAATGATTCCAATGCCGTCAGTGATCAAGTAAGGCAAGACGAACTCTTTACGGTCCTTCTTGCTGGCGATAATCAGGAGAACGGCACAGACTAAGTCCACGATGCATACAACCAGGAAGATGCCGAGGATGATCTTGAACACCAGATGCATAATGTCGGCAGTGTCGTTAAAGTCATCAGACGTGAGAGTGAAATTATTGCCAAACTCATTCCTCTTCTCGTCGATCAGTGTCTTGCCCTCCTCCTTGCTCATGCTGATGACCTGGTCGAGAGAGATGAGGACCAGGGCCGAGATGGCGATGCCCAAGAGCGACCGGATGATGCCCAGAGCGCCCAGGATCACGCCTCCCGTGCGCAGACTGCAGCAGCAGCAGCAAAAGTTCAGCAGCGGCATTTTTCCACACCTGCAACGAGAGCGAGGGTGAACATTCTCTCAAGCCAGGTGTGGCGTTTGGGGTGAGTGAAACACAGCGAGACACACCCAAAGTGTTTGTCCAAGCCAGAAGTTTGCTATGGTTACAAGTTCTCAAGCCCTCAAATTGCGCGTGGGCGGGAATTTTACATGTTTTGGCGCCTCGCCAAAGTGATATCATCCTGAGATGAAGAGGATCACATTGACGTCTAATTTTAGCTCCTATTCTCTCTTCTAGCTTTTCGAGAATGTTTAGATTATCCTCAGCACAACTATTTATTACAATAATTCTGCCTTGAATTGTGCTGATCTTGCTGAACAAGAAGTGTTTTCCCGGCAAAATCACGCAAGTTTGTTGCACTTTGTCAGTGCTTTGGCTCTTTGGTCACGTCTTACAACTCAGTCAATTAAACTCACTCACTCAGTCAGCCATAAAGTGGCCAGAGAGCAAGATTGGCTTATGTGATGAGCGGGATTTCTGAGGGCGATTCGGAATGCGAAGTGTTTCGGCTATAAATCAGACGAAAGCTGTGGCCTTCAGAGCATCTCACAGTTTTTTTTACGAGCACACTTCGCCAGTTGTTTCCAAATTAATTAATCCCGCTCTGCAAAAGAAGTGATCTCACTGAGTGACATTGACTTCCCTAATTGCCCTTTATTTTGGTCTCTTTATGCGCTTGATTTTGAACTTGTAAATCATCAGCAAACGCCCATAAAATTTGTTAGTTGACCTAAAGAGACGTCGCTCTTCTACACATTCCTGTGATATTTACCATCACCCAGAAAAAGCAACTACAATCCATCTAACTAATGTGCGTTAGTGTGGAGAAAATGAGTGGAAAAACTTACTTTTGTCTTGCGAAAAATCAGAGATCAAATTTCACGTGTCGTCTCGAGCAGACAATCAATCCGCGCGCTGCGTCTTCAATATCACGCGAAGGAGTGTAAAAATCGATGTCTAATTGTGTCTCGTGTGAATTGAAATGGCTAAAAGCACGCAATGATTAGCTATTTAAATGTGATACTCGATTACCATCTCTCGTTTTTGTTACATTTCAACGCAATTCCGCGTGCGGGAAAAATGCCTCAACTTCTCTCTCGATTGGTTTTTCCTTTCATTGGAACACACACTCAAAAGGCTCAAAAGACTCTCAAATTGATATTCTCGCGACGACACAAACCGGTTTGCCAGTGTGTCTTTTTGCTTCCTCGTGAATCCATGGAATTGCTGGCGAAAGAGGGATTTCTTCTAGGGCGTGCCCTGAAATTCCGCGACTCTGGACGCGCGTCGTGAGTCATGTTGTGCGGCTCTGGAGATGGACAAAATGCGATGAGAGCAACTTGTGGGCGCCAAATGGCAGCAAGAACGCGCGCGCAAAAAAGACGCTTCAATGATGATGCGGATGGAAGGTCACAAGCAATGCGATGAATGGAGCACAACGAGTACAAAAGCCACGTCACAGGACGGAACTGTCGATACCAAATTACCTGCGATTCCCAAAACACACTTTACAAGGCACTCACAGAGTTGACTTCCAGTCAAGCACGCTGTCGACGCCGCACTAAACCAAACAAACGGCCTGAACGGCGACGAGCGAGATCGAGAGTTTTCCCGCGCACGCAAAATCCCAAACAATCGCACACAAACGCACGCTTCACAACCACGAACGCACCTGTTGATCAGCGGCTCCGACCCGACTGGCGACTTGCGGTCGCCCAGGAGCGTCCCTGTGCGCAGAAATGCGTCTCGCAGAAAAGTGCGTCGAAAAGGACGCTCGTCGGAAGGGCAGAAATTGGGTCACGCAAACAAAAAATTTCGTTTCTATGCCATTTATGTGTGGATTTCTTTGTGCGTCAAGTGTCGTTAACCCATTAGAGATGGCAACACAGCTTCAATATCAACAATTCCCACTGTTGTTCTGTGAATTGCTTCATTAACCCTTAGATAAAGTTATTAATTAGCAGCGTTGTCAGCATTCTCATATGCAAAAGATCGAATTCCGCTTGTGAGGCTCTTTCTTACATAGTTTCTTATCTAAATACCACTCATCGAAATAAACAAATGATCCCTTTTATGCACGAATTGTTTTTTTTTACATTAATATAAGCCTGGAATACATAAAGAGTGTGGAAGAAAACTTTAAAATTATAACGTTATTACGTTTTTCTTTTCACAAATATGTTTTGAAATTCATCAATGAATCATAATTAAGTCCGTGTTTAACTTGGTATGCTTTTCCATAGATAAATTTCTGATAAAGCTAAGATTCTTTTAAACACTATTTTATGTTCAACAAGTCGCAATATTGTATGGGAAATTGAGTTTTAAGAGAATTTCCCAATCATGTTTCGTGTTTCACCGTTAACGGTCATTTCGATTAGCCGAGGCACAAATTCATCGTTGAAGAAGTCCGACTAGCGCGCCTCTACCCGCGGTCACTGACATTAAGGCTGTTGGCGGGAAAATACTAAGTTCTTCTCGAGAAGCCTTTGTCTAGATTTTTGCCCTTATCTTTTCGTCTAATTGACCATTTCTGCATACCTTGGGTTCAAATGAAAGGTACTTAAATACTCTGCAAGTTTGTAGAACTGCCCAAAAACCCTTCGAAGCGAGATCTCTCAATTCCAGGGACGATTTAGCCTTTGTGAGACAAATTACCTGTCTTGCGAAGGAATTACAGTAATTACTGAAGTCACTCTGGAGACAACCTTTGAGGCAATTAGGCTGCTGATACCTTCCAAATGGCAGAAGCAACGAGAGGGAAAGAGAAAGAGTGGATAAAACTCATAGGCGTTTAATCAGCATTTAGAGAGAATTTTCTTTTTTTTTTTGATAAATGCAGAGCTGAAGTGATTTTTCCCAAATATATCACGATATTTTATTCAATATATTTTTTTTCATTCAATTTGCTGTTTAGTAGTTCCATTATACACCACACACCACTTTGAATTGTATTTATGCCTTCATTTCTCATTCCTATCTATAAATTTCTCTGCAGCCCTTTGTGTGCCCTTGAATTCAGGAATTTCTCTATCAAATCTTCTTTATAATTAGTTTTTTAGTGTTTCAACTGTTGAATCTCGAAAGTAGGATGCAATTGTCGCTTCGCAGGATCACTTTAGGCTCTCTCTCGGGTCTCAACGATTACTCTATCAGTTTCTCTGTGATATAATAGTGTCTGTCTCTATGCAATGACGAAGCGCCTTCGGGAAAATCATTGTAAATCTGCAAAGGCACGGTTAGACAGTGACCTAGAGCTGCGTCGCGCGCGCGACTTACTTGCAAATTGTCATAAGATTCTAGCTAGCATCTCCAGCCAGGGAGTGGAAACGATTTCCTATAGTCACGGGCGAACTCTTGGCCACTTCCGACGGCCGCGCAGACCGGCTGCCGTGCTTCACTTCCTCGAAGCCGGGGTCCAGCTTCTTCTTGGGCGCTTCTGGCTTGGGCGGGGCGGCGCCGAGCGACGGGAAGTACTCTTCACTCGAGATGTCCGGCGCCACGCGGCTTCCCATTTCGCGCAACTTCACCTTGGCCAGCTGCAAAGACAGTCATTAGGGAAATAAAGTGATGGTGACAAAAGAAAAGGGTGTTCTTGAAGTGATTTTCCCAAGACAAGTCTCGAAACTAATGCAAATCAAAGTCAATGCCTAAACTTACGTCTTATTTTCGACTTAAATTAAGTCATTCTGTCATGCTAACAAAATTCTGAAGTATGCTAAAAGCTTAAGAAAGCAATTTTCTCAATATTCCAAAATATCGCGTGCAAATTAGGAATTTTCCAATCTTATTTCCCAAAAATACTTGTTTTCAAATCAAAATGGGCTGAAATTAAGCCTGAAATCTAGAATCTGCCTAAGAATTGTGACTGAAATCAGGGGATAAATCAATCTTAACCACTTTTCTACCTGAAAAGTCATACTTTGTCCTTTGAATTTGAGTATTTCTAAGAAAGGATTGAATGTTCAGACCATTTTTCACCGGAAAAAGGGATAATCTAGTTGAAAAATCATGATTTCAGTCAAGGAAAACGGTTCTCGGCGGAACTTTCTTCGGATTTGAGGGCGAAATGCACTTGATTTGGGGCTCATTTGCCTCCGGGGCTACTCACGGCGCTCTGGAGAGCCGGCGGTCTGTAGATTTTGGGCTCTGCGGGCTGCGTGACCACCTCCTTGGGTGGCGGCGGCGGAGCGGCGCCCTCCTTCACGGCCTTCCAAGGTCCCGTTTTGCGATCGCTGGCCTCGGCGTTGCCCTCTGTGTCGTGCTGCGCCTCGGAGCCCTGCTCGCCGTCCACGTTGTGCTCTTCTTCGCTGAGCGTCAGCTGGCCGAGCTTCAGTCCTGAGTAGTCCTTCCGCTCCTCCTCGAAGTCCTTCCACTCGTCCTCCTGCCCAGAACATCACCCATTAGCCACGCAATCCCGACGCCCCGTAGCGCCCCACACTCACCCTATCTTGACTGCTGAACTCCTCCTCGTTGCCGGGCGCACGAGTCTTGGGCTTCGTGTCCAGCTTCTTTGACGTGTCCTCGAGTTTCTTCACGAGGTCGTCCGCCGTGGTGAATTTCTTCACTTTCGACTTCTTCTTGTCCTTCTTGGCAAAGAAATCATCCAGATCTGCCATTTTCACCGATTTCACACCCTGCAATGTGGGATTTCTGAAAGGAATTCCAGCAAATTTGCTAAACCTCAAAAACGCGACTGCCGTTTCCGTGTCACACTGACAAGTCGATGAAGCGCGCGCGATGACGAATCGATGAGACGCAGCGCCTCTGGCGGAATAAGTCTGCGAAAGCACGTTTGAATGATTTCTGTTATACTCGCAATGACTGAGAATTTTCCGCCACACCTCGAATTTCCATGAATTTTCAATGAATTCACCAGTAAAATGAATTTTAATTGTAATTTTTATCATTACTTTAATTGAAAATTTTTCATCTTGCTGAACTTGAATGCTTTTTGTGAAAATTCACAAATTTTCTCACAAAATTCCTGACATTTCATTAACATATTTCAAGCTCAATATTTTATAATAGTCCTCAAAAAGTCCAAAAGCTTACAATATTATCAAAAATAACATGAAATAAATGACTGAAACCGTCAGAGACGGAAAAAGCGATCATTGGCGTTTTTTACTGGACGGAAATGTCGTGTTATGAGCAATTTCCGACAATTTTCCACTGAAAAATAGTCTGAAATAAAATGATGAGTTGTCACGTTACAGAACAAAGGATCGAAGCCTAACATTTTCAGCAAATACTCGAGGAGGGAAGATTTTTCAATGAGTTTGTTTATGGCGATGATCACTCATCGCGAGCAATATTTCTGCAATTCTGCGTATTATTTTAATTTGCCGAAAAATAATCAAATTTGTCTGTTGGTATTTGACAAAATTACCTTTTTACCATGGCCCTGGGGAAATGGGAAAAAAGCCTGACATTGAATTTCTGTGTTATAAAAGCGATCCATTGGGCAGATTGGAGAGAATTGTGCAGAAGAGTGTTGTGAAATACAGTGGAAATGCAGAAATATCTTGTGATCGGCTTCGTGATTGTGGCTTTGGCGTGCAATGTGAGTGATTCAGATGGAAATGTGCCTGTAATTATTATTAAACATTCTAAAAATCCTCCACAGGCCACAAACGTCGATGGAAAGGACTGTGTTCCGCCTAATAAAGCTGTAAGATTGCCCTGAAATATTTTTATTTCTGTGAAAATTGAAGGTAATTTGTTTGCTTTCTCCGGGCAGAATCCCAAGGAATGCTGCCACTTCCCGCGTCCCATCAATGATGAAAACTTCCACAAGTGCGTAGAGCAGTTTGGCAAGCAGTCGCACAGGAATCTGGAGGCTGTTCAGTCCGGAGGTCCTGAGAGAGGATGCGTGAGTAGAGCCCTGTGTCTAGAATTGCAATGAAAAATTGACTTGAACCAAAATACTTGGCAGAATATTGTTGAATTTTCGGTAGCATAAAGAAAATCTCTTAGTGGCCAGTTTGCGGCACACAGAAGAGTCTCGTTATCAGTTCCATGAAGTGTGGAAAGCGGGTTTTTTCCAACTATAGTCGCTAATAATTCTTCGTCTTGCAGTGCGTCTCTGAGTGCGTGATGAACTCCACGGGCGCCATTGTGGACGGCCACATTGACGCGGGCAAGATGAAGAGTATGATGAAGGAGGCTGCCGGCGACGCGGCGGCAGATTGGGAGCCTGTGCTGGAAAAGATGGCCGAGAAGTGCTTGGCCGAAGCCGAGTCAAAAACCGACGAGTTCGAGAAGATCATGTCTATGCCGCCACTGAATCCCGACGATCGCGTCTGCAATCCCAAATTCGGCTTCCTGATGGGCTGCTTCATGAAGGAGCTGTACCAGAACTGCCCGGAAAAGATCTTCCAGAAGGACAAGCCCGAGTGTGTGGAGCTCAAGGCGTACATGGCAGACTGCCCGTACCCCAAGAAGAAGCTGGAACTGACCGAGGAGGAATAATGACTCTCATCGCCACACTTTGTCTCTTTGCGGAAATTTCAAATAAAAAGCTGTGAATGTACATTTTGAGCTCGAAGCTTAGCCGAGGCGCTTTTCTCTTAAAATAAGACTACGCTGAGCACCAGCGCTGCTCAAATGGTGTTCTCGATTCTCGACCTTTGGCACTCTTTCTCCCTCTGCAAAAGGCAACTAACGAGCCTGGATGACACATTTGCACGTAAGTGAAATGAGAAAAAGTCATCTTGGGTTTGACGTAATGGTTATTTTCCGCATTTGCGCACTTTTAAATCAATATACGCGGAAACATACGAATGCAAATGTAATTAGACGATTAATTAATGAATTTTGAATACAAATTTGCTTGGGAAATTTCTCGGAACGGGGCAGAAAAAAATGTAGCAACTTTGTAAGGGAGAATCGCAAAGTCAAAAGTGCAAATTAACATATTTTACATAGAATCCAAGGAATTGATTAACCCATTAGATCAAAGCAGTAGAATTTCTTATTCCGATATATTCATATTCAGCGACTTTGCGAAGGAAGAAAAGTGTGTGTGTTTTTTGTCACAGAAAATGATTGGCAAAATCTAATGTTGTCCCTCAGTTGCACAAGTTTAAAATTAAAATGCCTTTGAATGTCCGTGAGTTTAAAGTTATGTGAATAGCATTCTTTATGCATGTCTCGAAAATATATCTTATTTTGCACAGATTTTGCACTCTTTTCTTGGATTTCCAAATATTTCTATATGTTTTAAGTTCAAAGAAATTCCCTGAATATTTAAAATCTTTGAATTTACTGTCTTTAATGAGTAAAAGCACAAGAATCAACCAGAATGATTAATGTTTATTAATTGTATAACACTCAAATAGCCATAAAACTATATTTAAAGCATTAAGATTTATCATCCATATTATTGTTATTACGTTAACGATTAATCTTGTTTTACTCAAACATTATGATTGCCAAAGATTCCCAAAAATCATATAACTTCAATGCGCACAAATAAATTCAGCGAACCGAAGTTTGCAAAACAACAGAGCATTTTCACACTTCATTTCCTTGATTTGCATGCGTTTTTTTCAAAGTGCACAATTGTTTAAGCACAAAATTGTGTTTTTCGCTCAAATTTGTAGCAATTTCTTGTAAAAGAATGTCTTTTAGCATGGTTAACATTCACTCTGGGCGTCGTAATACATTACGTTAAGAATTATTGCACTAAGATCAGCAGAAGACAATGAATTTGATCTCCTAACTTGGGTATTTCTTCACACATTCCGGGAAACCATGAAAACCTCAAATCCGCTTTTGGCAATGCGTCAAACCCTGGGCATGAAATCATTGAAGAGGCCATTTTTCAGCTGTCGAGATTACAATCGATGCGCACTTGAAGGTCCTGGAGGCGGACTTTTTATCGCGATGCACAATTAATTGAGGAAGTGCGATGACGAAAGCGCGGAGTTTCTTGTGCGTTCGCCCATCATGAGTGGGACAATTTGGCGACGTGAGGGCATTCATAGTGCGGCGGGATTATTCAATAAGTGCGCCTGAAATGGCTCATGGAGTTTAAACCGGAGTTTCACCGACTTCCTCCATATCAGAGAGTACAAAGATTTTTCAATTATACAACGCCGCGGCCCCGATACAATTCGGTGGGATTACCAGCGAAGTAGGTTGATTGGGTGAAATCACAGACTGGTCTGGGCGAATGGAGAGAGAAAAAAGCGTCTCGCTGGAGGAAAACGCACACGCAGACCCAGTCAAAACGTGAACTTTGTCTCCCTGATTGATTCCATTCCGCGTCTCGGCCAGTGATAAGACGCGCGCGCGCGCTAGAAAGTGATCTTCACTGTGATCTTATGCAATGCGGATCACGTGGATTTGCAGTGACTTCGCCCACGCGCCGCATTATGCTCGTTTTTGTGAGAAAGATGGATTTATCTGCTCCCAATCAATGTCACCGAGTCCATAAATTAGTCAATATTGAGCCAAGGGGGATCAATTGATCGAATATGAGCGGAAATGGTGTACGCCTCATCGGAAGAATAAAGGACTAGAAGTGTTTAAATATTCAATCCTCAATTTTCAATGCCTTGATCGTCTTGATAATGCTTTTCTAGGTTATGCAACTAACTTAAGTCAAATTCAGCGACTAAATGGCATCTATTGCTGAGTTCTTTCAAGCTCAAATCAAATCAATTCAATGAAGAACGAAATGAAAAACGCTTTAAAGTCAAACATAACCTCAAAAATTGAACAATACAAGGCATTTCCTCTGATTTTACTGTTTTGAGTAAAAACAGTATAAACAAACGTATTGATACACTCGCATTTTGAAACACATTGAAATGCTTATTTTATAACCACACTTCAGCTTCTTTAGATTCCCAAAATTACGATCTTTCTAAAAAGCAGTCTAAGAAATGTAAAATGCATTTTTTTTACACACTTGAGAAAGTACGTGAAGTGTCAAAGAATGCAAAGTTAAATGAGATTTAGAAGTATGGTGTACAGATTTTAGTCTATTTTATCCTCTCTTGCGTCGAGCTTTTTGTTCGCCGCGCCGACGTTTTGTCCACGAGAACTTCGCAGTCCCGCGACCACAAAATGCTAATTGGCGCTACTGGCTTCGCGCGCGGCAAAGCGGATCGGCGGAAAAGTGGCGGGCGTCGCTGCGTTCTGATTAGAAGCTTCCTCTGGCGCGCATTCTGGTCAGTGTTACGCCGAGCGACACATTTCCTGGCAAGATCACCTCCCGCGGTGGACAAGGAGACGCGCTGAAAGTAGCGCTCGATGTTTGCTTTTAATTGGGTCATTGAACTACGAATGCTCAAGAGCTCTTCTTGGAGGCCGAACACTATTTGCCTCATGTATCGCATTCGATTATGTATGCTAAAATGTGCGACTTCTTGTCAATAAAACGACGATTAATATTTTCATGAAAATTGACGATCGAGCGCCGTTGAAGGTAATTTGAAATAAATCTTCAATGATTTTCTTTGTATTCGATCATATTTTCAAGGGGCAAAAGCTCAAAATACGGAAACATGAAATTATTGAAATGTGTTTTAGAAAATTAGATAATTTTTCATATTGTGTTTTTTTGTTAATTGCGCGGTGTCTTGAAGATCACGGTAGAAAAGTCATGAAATTCATAAAAAACTATGCTCAATGATTGAACTTTGGTTCTGTAGTGTTGGGATTTTGAGGGACAACTTTGGAATATGCTAAAAACAATTCAAAGATGAACTTTGTATCTAAATTAAAGCCTTTTCATAATAGTTTCGTTTCTAAATCTCCAAATTCATTAGCATAACAGTCTCATTTAATACGTAATAAATACACAATCTATCATAATTGTTTATTTCTTCTCTTCGACTTCTTGGTTTTTTTTCGGGACAATGACTTGATCTGTCATGTGATTTCACATTGTTCTATTGATGGAGAGAAACTTGAAAATCCAGAAAGCATTTCGACGAAATTTGGAACATTCTTCCACGAGGCAAATTTCAGAATAGAATAGAGTGAATCTTGTTTCACGATAATGAAACGTGTTTTCCTTGTTAGATTGTGTATTGAAAAGGAATTTATGTGTGTTCTTAAGCACGTAAGCCATCTTTTGTATGCACTTTGGGACAATCTCTTGAGCTGACTTTCGCTGCAAGATATCGATTGTAATGCTTCTAATCGCGCACCTAATCCTCAATTTTCACTGGGAAAATCAACAAGTTTATCAGCTTTATCAGCCACACTTTCAGCATTATTTATCTATTGGCTTTTTTCGGTACACCTTTATCAATCTGGCGAGCAGACTTCCAGGAAAAACAACGATTCCATCAGGGCTTTTCTTTCAATTCGTGACGACAATTGTAGCCATGATTTCAAGTTGCGCTCAAGAAGGTCACAAAATTCACTTTTCAGCGCATTTTCCGTTCATTTATTAAGAGGGAGAGAAGAGAGAAAGAAAAGTGAAACGACAGAGTGACATCAAGTTTGGCAATAAGAAGAGTTCACGAAATCCACGTGAGTCCACTTGATGCGGATTTCAATTATTTTGATTTCCTCATTGTACAACAAGACCAGAATCAACATGCAAATTGTCTTTTCAGGTGCGCAGAAGTGATCACAGATGAACTCGTGTTTGCTTTCATGCGATCATGCTTAGAATTATGCTTGAAAAGTTGTGAAATTTACATCAAATATCATAGCAAAATTCTGCCGGTAAATGTTCACAATCACAGAACTTTTCCGATAATTTCGCGAAACTTCAACACTTTGGTCATTTCGGTTCTGGTTGGTGAGATCGGAAAACATGTGTTTTTTCTCCTCGATTTCGCTGATTAAATATTTGGAAGGATTCCCTCTTCGACAGTCGCCACTTTGGATGATCAACAAGAGAAAGAGGAATTGATTAAGAGAACGTGTCTCTTCTATGGTTTCTCAGCTACAATTCAATTAAAATCTGCGCATCGCTTTCGGTGAGTTGCTTTAGGAGGAGGAAGAGAAAAAATCAATCTTATAAAATGCGTCACCATTATTTTCGCATTTTCGTCTAAAAATATCATCATGTCGCTTTGGTCTTTGTTGTGCGGATGATCTTGCGCATTTGTAATGCTTTTTGCCATCACAATTGCCCACTCACGCCGCAAATTCATCATTTGTCTCCTCTCTGGGGACGATTTGTCGTGAATGAAGTCAGACTTTTAGGGACCATTGAGCGCGCGTATCTTTTTTATGGGCTCTCGCGCGCATCTTTGACCGAAAGTCAGAGACCTTCATCACGAATTTTACAGCGGCGACACGTGAAGAGGCTGGTTTTTCCCGAAGAGAAGCCGTCGGTTTTTTTCGAAATGTCTAATGGAAAAAACATACATAACATGATGAAATATCGGATGAAAATGCAAAATAGGACTGATGATGCTCTCTTCCCGTTGATCTCGCGCCTTATCAACATGACCGATTGCGGTGAAAAACAACTCAAGCAACTCTCGAGGGATTTTTTCCGTCAAATCAGCTGTTCTTGCAGATCACACGCCTTGTTTTTCCACCCTTATCGCCGCCTCGCAACACTCCCAGTAATCCATTAAGCCGCCACGATCGCTAGTGATAGTGTCCAAGGGGGGCCGCACTTATCACTGCCATCCGCTGATAGCACTAATGACGGTTTCATCAGCACAAGCTGGGAGGGAGAAAGGTTCAACGGAGTCACAAACATCACTCCATTTCGCCCCAAAGCCACACTTGCTCAACTTCTGCCCTTGAAGGTGGACAAAAGTGACCCAAAAGACGAGTTTCAATACACTTTCAAGCTCATTGTCCAATTGTTCATATTATGATATTTTATGCATTGAAAGAGAGCACTGAAGGCTGACGCTTGTGCCACGTTTTCGCAAAATTGCTCTTTCGCTATGATTTTGAGGTCAAAATAGGTAAGACGCCGATTGCAAGGATAAATGAGGCTTCACAGATGCAAGACATTAGCGCGATTTATGGCATTTTTAATGGTTTTTTATATGGTTTTTTTTTTCATATGATAAATCAAAACTATGTTGTGAAGCTATTTTGGGATCTTTCTTTGTGTGCTTCGATAAATTAAGCCATCAAAATTTTAATTTGACATCAAGTCTCAAAACTTGAATTGATAAAAATACATTGAGAAATCCTGTAATCAAATCAAGAATCTTATGAAATTTTATGAGCCATTGTTTCACAGTGAAATATTTCAACAAATTCTCTTCTCATATCACTTGATGAAGGCTTGAAGAGAAATTGCGTTAATTCCTCATCAAAAGAACATTATATATTACATCAAAGACGCTCACTCTAAAAAAAAGCGCCCATTAAAATTTATCGCCATTGTCAATCATTTTCTCAGTGCGCAGAAATTCCCGGAAAATCGCTCCAGTTCGTGAATTCTGGTCAAAACTTTCCATGGAAATTAAACAGACATTTGCATAATTTACCTTCTCAAATGCGTAAGAGCAATTGTCATGTTTGTTTGTCGTCTTTTTTCATGCCTCTTTTCCCACTCAACTTCTCATAATATTGGCAAAGTGAAACTTGCTGAATAAGTATTCATCATTTCGGTGTAAGAAAGAGCGTTCTTTTCCGCTTTTACTATTAGCCGAGTGGGTTTGCAGAATAAATACATGACATAGAATCCTCACTTGAAGTCTCGAGATAGATGACGATCTGGAGACAAAGTGTCGCTTGTTTTGCGCGCTGTGGGGAAATTTGCTGATCATCGTGAAGATTCTCTCCGGGTTAGAACCCACTTGTCATGGCGATAAATTGGAAAAATAAATATTTGTGCCTCTGATTTCTGCCAAATTGCCATTATCCCAGTCAAAGAGGTGCAAAGCGGAGCTCCGTGCGCACAAAATCGCAATCTGTGCTGCGATCGCCAAAACAGCGCTCCATCACGCGATCACTGTTGGCACTAATAAAAAGCCACTTTGCGCTTGATAGAATCTCTCTCATCCGAGCGCTTTTGGACCAATTGTGGCGCTCGGAAATGGTCACACCACCCTGCATCTCCAGCTCTTCGGCAGCTGCTCATTGCGCTCTTCCGCTCTTGTGCGATCGCACCACAATCGCGAGATTTCTGCACATTTGCCCCACCGCGCATTCCGGCGAATCACTTCAATTTTCTACCGTTCTTACTTTCTTTCGCGATCAATTTCGTACAGCACGATCGCGCGGTCGCGCGGAACGCTATTATCATGTTTGCTCTTTCTCCAACTGATCTATGTTTTGGGAATGAAAACAAGAATGCAAACAGCAAGAAATTAGTGTCATTGTGATTACGCTTTGATCCCATTTTTTCTGTGCGGATAATAATTAACCCGCGAATGTGAATTCCATCTAAAATTGCTCTCAGCGCTGTTTCAAGTCGATAAAAACGGTAATTGATTTCCATTAAAACCTTTGATAATAACCTGAGGCTAGCTGAAAAACCACTGAAGGGAAAGTTTGTTGACGTTTTCCAACAAACTTCCGGCACTGAAGGGAAAATAAGAGTTTAAGCATGAGATCAGTGCACAATTGGGCGGGGCATCAGAATGGGCGTGGCTTGTTTGACTGTTTAACCCTTTGATATTTTTCCGACATTGAATTACACTTATCAAAGTGAATTGTGTTTTATTTGGCTTTATCAACACAATTTTGGATTTAAAAGGGTTTAATTAAAGAGCAGAAGTGCGAATTAGTCTTCTAAAATGGGTTAAAAGAGAAAAAAATCAGGAACCATAGAAACTCATGGAAAATGACAGATTTTTCGTGTACGTTCAATGTAATTATTTATTTCAGAACTACTTTTTATCAGTTTGTCACTGCAAAAGTAAAAGTATTGCCTTTTTAAGGTTGTAATTGAGCGATCATTGTGAGGGTTAAAATGTTGTTTCAACTCTTTTTTTTCAAGCAAAATTACTTCCATTCTTGATCAGGGAAGCGGAAATAATTTGAAAAATATTAAATGATGCCAAATCAGTCTCGCGATTGTTCAATTAGGAGGAAATTGCAGAATCAACGATAAATACAACTGACAAGAACTTGAGATAATCGTGCAATCACAAGATTATTCTAATGATCAACACGAAGAGCTTCGAGGAAGTTCCCTAAAGTTAACAAAAATGTGGCATTGAATGAATGATTTGGCGGTGTTTTTCTGCGCAGGGAAAAAACACCGCCGAGAGCTTTGACCCCTTTGAACCCGCGCCGAATGGCGAATGTCTCTCAATTTGGGTGGTTGATCTTGCTTTGAATATTTGGGCGATGCGAGAATGCACCTTTCAAGAAAGTGAAAGGAATCCAACGAGAATTGCTCTCGGATGAGAATATTATTTTAAAATTCAAGGTGTATCGAGAGGAAACGCAGATTTGAAGGATAAAGTGTGAAAATAGTCAAATCCACGGGCAAATTTGCGATTTCCGGCAACAGCCAAGCCATTTGCTGTGGTTTTTCTTCGGCTGGAAAGCGCGCAAGGTGTGAAGATTGAAATTCTCTACGCGATTTTGATGGAGAGAATTGCAGCTGATGTCCAAAGCGCGATTGCACCCGCGCGAGCACGTGTGAAGAAATTCATTTGACCTCAATTGAAAGTGTAGTTTTGTGCCAAATGCACGTCATACAACATTAATTTCGACTCTCTCTCACTCACTTCTCTTCAAATGGGACTCTTCACGAGCACGCGGGAAGGTCACATCATCATTATCTTCGCATGCAAATGATCGTCCAACTGCGCAGCAAATTTGTCCACCTGCGCCGCCAGGAAAATTTGCCAATCTCGTTATGCAGACACTGGAAAAGTACACAGACAGCATATGGCAAAAGGGCCATAGAGATTGTCGAGATTGTGGATGATGAGGAAATCGATGTAGGGGAAGCGCGGGCAGGTGAAATTGTGGCTCTGTTTTTTTTGGGGGATAATATCATTTCGCTTTCATGAATGGAATGCAATTGCAAAACGTGTGCAACTCTCGGGAGGAATTGCTGTGCGGCAAAAGGGGCAAAACTTTCAGGGAAATCACCTTTGGCCATTTCACAAGAGACTCTCTCTCTCTCTCTCCCACTGGAAGATGTTCATTCATCGGCTGCACTTTGGGAATTGAGCTTGACAGACGCGCGCGCGCGTCCGATTGGAATGTAAGCACATTTGGCCATAGAGCTTGCCAACCCTGAAGAATGTTGATCACAGATACTTCCAAGAAGATCTACTTTTTTCCACGCACCCACCTTGAATTAATTCCATTTGAGCTCGTTAAATATGCCACACCAGAGATCGCGATCATGACGCCATAACGCGAAGCGCAGCTCAGATGGAAAATTGGCTTGAATTTCCCAAGAAGCGCGCGCGCGCGCGAGCTTTTCGCTCCATTGCGAACTCCCATTTTCTCAGCAAGTGAAAATAACTGTTATTAGGTAATAGGATCGTTTAGTGCAATCGAGATGAAGAGGGGATTATCTCGCGATTGAGAACCGTTTGGAGCGAAATTGCACAACAAAGCGCGATCACCGTTTGGGGCTTTCCTCACTCTCACTCACCTCTCGCGTGCACCTTTATCACATAAGTGTCTCTTAGCTGGACACATTCTTCTCCTTATCGCATGGGAAAATGGCATGGAAAGTGTGCCGCATCTTTGGAATTTGGGTTTTTCCCGAAACTTCCAAAAAACCGTCAGAGTGTCTAAAAATGAGAAGCGCAGAAGCGAAAAGAGGTAAAAAATCAAGGTTGTAGATATTCAATGAGCTCTCGAGCGCGTCTCAAAGTGGATGGATTAGGAAATGCTCTCTCACTTCTGCAAGCGCTGCAATTCACCGCCTTTAAGTGCCTCTATTTAGTGGTTAAATCACTCAATATGCGACACAATTGATTAGAATGATTCTCTTCAAGTTCCATTCACACACTTTTTCGCGTTGCCGCTTGCCAACAGAAGCAAAAGAAGTGCTTAACGATCGAGTGCTTGAGTTGTTTTACTGAAAACATTGGAGAAAAAAACCATAACATTTTTGCCAAGGAATGACGAATTAACTCACCTGAATTTCCCCCGAAAAAAAACCACATTTTTCAAGCGGAATTCACTGAATTTGCTGGAAATAACGCAAAAGCGACGCAAAAAATCCAACCGCAAGTGAAAAGCCAATCTCTTTTTACAAGTTTTTTAACAAATTTTATTTTTAATTCATTATTTACAAATAAGGTTTTCATTTTCATAATCATTAATTTATCATCTCACTTTATATATCATCTTTACCCGCTTAATTTTATACAAATGTATATATATATATAGATATTAACATTTATAAGATTACAAAGAGGTTCTCCGAGGAAAGAAAGGTAAGAAATGCAAACATTTACAAAAAATAAAAGTAGTTTTCACTCTCTCGTTCATTTTCACATTTAATCGCATTCATCTTTGCTGTTTCATCTCTCTCACTCAAGAAACTCTCCTTTTATATGTTTTTTCTCCTCTAATTGCTAGTTATAATATGGTTTTATTTGGCTAGACACTATATTCTTGGCGCAGCTTAAATCCGCAAAAACCTGCCTCAGTAACGCTCTGTCCGTATTTTTCTTTTTGATAAAAAAAATTGCACTTTATACAAAATTTAATCAGGTATGACTAAATACACAATTTTTCGCTACATTCCCTCTTGTCAGAGCTCAACAGTTATGAGATTTCTTAGGATACGGAATGGATTACATCATATTTTGGTGTGTTTTTCTTTTTCTTTCATTGATACTCGAAGCACGGCATCAACGGCCCAAAAGCACAACACCTCCTTCCTCTCTTACACATTAGTTATCAACAACTAAACTTGACATTAAATAGCTCTGTGTTCTCCTTGCGATCATCGCGAGCAGTCATCTGCTTCACCACTTCTCAAAGAAAAAGCGCGCGTTGCAATTGAGAAAGAATCACTTTTCCCAATTCCAAAAGCCACTTACATAAATTCCATATACAATTAAATAAGAACTCTCATGTAAACCGTCTTCTATATTGTATTTTCAAGGCAACGCTTTTTCAACTAACTCTCCTATCCTCTCACTAAAATATTAATAAAGAATTTCTCATTAGAAATTAAAGCCGATACAGCGCATTTTCTACACTTTTTTTTCTCTCTCTCTCTCTCTTCACTCACACACACTCACACGCAATTCTTTAGCTATTCAACTCTTATATTGTTTGTCTATTGGCCAAGTTTTTTTTTGAAATTTGTGTTTCATCGAGCAGCAATTGCGAAAAGACGCGCGCGACGTGAGAAACTGAGCATTGTTCCTTTGCCAATCGATCTGCAATTCTCGTCCAGACTCTTCAAAACCACTTTCACGCTCTCTTTCACTCTTCATCTCAGCCATTTCACCAATATCCGAACATCTTAAGTATGAGCAATGTTTTCATTTTGAGAAATGTATTTCTGTGACTTGACTTCATTCGCACTAATTCAACACAAAAAAACACTTCACAGAGAGACAGTCGCTGGTCAATTGAATGCATGCAGACTTTGTTCACATTGTGTCTTGTTCGAATTCACTAAGAAATGCACAGCGAGGCATTTATGCGACCGCCAATGGGGCGGAGCTTCAGAGTGGGCGTGGCCAAAGTGCCTCACTTAAACTTAAATCTTCAGTACAGATAAAATCAATCATCAGTGCTTTCAACATTGCGACCAGCGACTGGAAAGGAAAAGTATATGAAGCTGGATTGTATAATAATTTATTAATGATCAATTGAGCGAAAATGACGTGAAAATAAGCGCAATTTCTCTCCACACGACAAAAGGAGTCCTCCAAAAAAAGGTTGAGGAAAAGACAGAGTGCAACATAAACGCGATTACTCCTCGCCAATTCACAGGTGAAGCTTTCTCAGTGGCAACTATTGGTTCCTCCTCGTCTCTCACTCTCTCTCTAAATATTATCTGTTCCCCCGTTATTCTTCACAGTTTACACGACTACAAAAATTGGGTGGTGGGCTTAGGGTTGGTACAATCTTGTTCTCTCCCTCAATCAGGCTCCCCCATTTGCTCTCACGCGCCGCCAACAACCCAACTTTATACTGGACCCACGTCGCTTTGGTACCGCGCAGTGAGATAGTTGGCCGCCTCCGTCATCTGCTCCAGGCTACGATAGAGGCCTAGCAGGTGTGTCCGGAACTGCTTGGCCAGCTCCTGACTCTTGTCCAGGTCGCGGCGACTCTCCGACTCGATGCCCGAGTCATTCTCATTGCTGATCTCGCTCTCTGAGTCGCTGAGCGTGCTCACGGAGTGGGAGGAGGACATGGAGATGGTGCTGGGCCTCCTCACGTGGCCCTTCACCGTCGCCTCCTCCTTGCTCACCACCTCCTCCTTTGCCACATTTGTACTCAACTCGCCTGCGCTCTTCTCCTGCTTCACCTCCTCGCTGGTGTCATTCCTGGCCCACAGCAGGTCATTCTTCACCAGATTCAGCATGTTGTACAGCTTCAGCAGGTCCGCCGAGTTCAGGTACTCGCGCACCGTGTCGCGCTTCTTGCTCTTCGTGTGGCCATGGTGGAAGGCTTTCGGCGAAACTGGAACTGTATCAGTGGAATCTCCCACCTGAAACAGAGACAAGAAGTCCGTCAAACTCACTGCTGCCACAAAACGGAAGTTGGACGCTTAGGCTTTGCACAACAGAGCGCCCGTGCGCGCGCCCATTAGTCACAATCAATGTTCAGTGCTTCCGAAGGGAAATCGGCACTTGGAGTAATTAGAGTCTAAAACGCCTCAAATAGACAGGAAATTCTGAAATGCCTCGCCATTAGTCTATGAATTTGCTATTTTTAGAAGCCTTTTCCACGCACATTCACTGTACTATGCATTTATTGACAAATTTATGACCAAAAATAGTGTCTTTTCGGGTCGTTTCTCCTCATCAGTCATTTACCTTCACTTATCTCTTTGCCAAGTGACAGATATCAAAAAATATTCCAAGGATGTCGCTTTAGAAAGGCGCTCTTGACCACAATCAAAATTCACATCAACACACATCTTTGCCCAGAAACTGCCCTGAATTTGAGGGAACAGACAATTGATAAGGAATTGATCTTTGTTCCAGAAAAATTTAATCTCTCTAAAACAAAGAATAATGGAAAAACAAAATATTCTTTTGAGCTAAAATTCAATTCAGAAGCGCTCATCTTTGATCGCAATTTAAATCACCTTCGTTTGAGTAAATTTTTAAACCAGTAAAACTGGTCTTCCATTAAAATTTGTCAAATATTCAATATATTAGAGCCTTTACAGCAGATTCTGTTCCATTGTGATTATTGATTGTACTTTTTATGCCCAGAAAAAAAGTATTTTGAAATTATCAGTAAAAATCATTTCATTTGTCGATCAATTTTTACAATCGTCAATCGACAATGAGCAATATATTATCCAGTTTTTCGCGGGACAGACAAGAATCTTATCACGCGAATTAATGTGACTCATCATGAAATATGTGTGAACATTTATCAGAGAATGAGAGTTTTATTTTTACTCTCCTGGCTCCATTCCTCAATTGCTAGATGATAAGATAAAAATTATGCAATTTATCACCTAAATCTCTCATTCCAATCAGTTCATACAATTAGCAAAGGCAAATTCATTAAAAAACCGTAATTTTCCATATGCTTCTCTCTCTTCAATTACTTTATCAATTACTCAGTCTTGTGTTAACAAACTTTAGCATTGAATTTCATTTTCTTATCTCTCACTTGGCAATTGAAACTCATAAACAATTATTCATTTTTCTCTCTGTTCAATTGAAACAAACCCCCATATGAAAGGTTATCGGTTTATTGGCACGTTTTAGCTGTTAAATGAAACCTCACCTGACGATCCATGAGGCGGGAGGGAACGAGTATGGTCTCATCCATGGCATTCACTGTCTTCACAAATTTCTCCATCACATTGATTATGCTTTGGTTGGAGAACTCCTGATCATCGTGACGAGCAATTCGTCTCAGACAGTTTCTGCAAAGAGAGAGAGAGAGAGAATTGCCTATGAAATTAAGACTGGCAAAAAGCGACACATTGACCTGCAAAGGAATTTCACAAATGCCCTCCAACATCAATCGACTATCCATCAAAATTAATGGTTATAGACTATTTTCGTGAATGAATTTGGTGGGGATTTTTTGCCATAAAATTCCACACTCACTTCCAATGTGAATGAAGAAAAAAATCGCATGAGTTGCGAATCATGAATTCGCTGATAAATGTTTCAAGTGTCAGCTGAGCCAGAACTCTCTAGCTCACACATATAGTTCTAAGTGGTGTGACTCAAATCGGACCACTGGTGACGTTCGCATTCACGCCACGGCGCAAGATTTCGTGTGTGAGTCAAAGAAAGAGAAGATGTGAGGAAATCGATGCCCTTTTTTCATGTCACAATCAAAACCTGACACACACTCAATTTCCAGAGGTATTTGGCATTGAACTTACATATCGTGTGGGTGTTTTGGGGCGCTCATCAAATTTCTCTCTTCTTCATTACACATTCCCATAGAGAAGGGAGTCGCGCAATCACGCCTGTGACTTCTTGACAGAGTCTCTCTTCTCACCCAGTGAAGAAAAAAAGCGCACACACAGTGCAAGAGAAGTTTCAGTAACACTTTGGCAAAGTGAAGCAATTTTCTCACCAATTGAATAATACAAATTAGTGCATGAAAAGCAATTGTATAATTTATTGCTGTTACTTCTCTCACAAGATCTCTTCTGTGACTTTTTTCTCCCTCTCTCGCCATTCACATGCCGAAAAAATTTTTATATTCCTTCTCTTTGACATAATGCGAAGAGACAAATTAACACATGAGCAGGAAGTAAAATCTATATTCTCCAATTTAACACATTCTTCCACACAGAGACTCTTTTGCGCACATTTTCGCGAAGAAAGAGCGTGAAATTAAAAAAAAACTCTGTCATGAGTATAATTACGCCTCTGAGAAGTGTGTATAAGGAGAAAAATTACCCTCTTTGACGTGCAATGCAGTGCATCATTAAGAATCCAGTGAGAAGCAGGTAAAGATTGCAAGACAACTTCTTGTTCCTCATATTACTCTCTTCGCCATATGCATATGACACACAACTCTGGAGAAATATCTCAATAAACTCCGTTGGCAATTAAGGTGCAACAGTCGCTGGTGGAAAAATTCCATTCATGAGTCGCAACACATCAGCGCGACACTGATCGATTCTGGATTGTTCTAGTGTTGAATTAATTATCAATTTACATCTCACTGCACGTGGTGTATTCCCAAATTCGGACTATTTCCGTGTAAACAATTCATATCAATACCTTTCCGTGCCACTGTAGCAGCTCAATCGGCGTAGAAAAATTCTAGAATACCATTACAATTAATCACAAATCGATTGACCTGGCAAACAGTCTAGAATATTTCCTTCTTTACGTTAAGTGGCACAACAAAGTGAATTTACCGTGCGGAGAAATATACCGTATATTTTCCCTTAAATGTCAAGAAGTAACTTTCACTTCAACGGAGATTCCAGTAAAAACTGCAGCATTACTTTCCAAGGCATTCCAAAAAGACATACTCAAGTACACTCAGAGAAAAGAAAGCGGGAATTTTAAGGGTCACCACACTGAGTTGCAACTGTTAACATTATCTCATGCACTTTACTCAGGTTATTTCTCAATATTTTATTTAGTTAAGAAAAGTTATGTTTCAAGGGATTCAAGCCTAAAAACATTAAGAAAAATCATTTTTAAACGAAACTAACTCAAGATTTGGGATTCAAAACAAGTTCCACTAAGAATTCCTTTCATCTTGCACAAGTTCTGGGTTCAAATCCAAATTAGAATTTATAAAACACAGTTTGTCTTTTGATATTTCTGAATAAAAATTTATAAAATGATGTAAAACAAAGACGGTAAATATTATTCTTTACAGTTCCTATCAAAAATATATTTTATAAAACTCGTTTTAATTTTCCAAAAAGAAACAAATTTTAAAATTCAGAAACAAGTAATGTTAACTTTTTTTTCATTAAAATAATTTAAAGATTGTGCTTTAATACAAGATTCACTATTAATTGCTTCCTTCTTGCGCAAGTTCTGAGTTCGAATCCGGGTTGGAATTGCTAAAAACCTTTTTTTCTTTTCATTTCTGTCAATTAAACTTGCTAAACTGAAGTGCAGGTCTGTCTCAATCACAAAAAAAACATTCTTTCTTTCTTGTTTACGAAGCAGTTTTGCAGAGAAGAAAATAAAGGAAAGTCCAGGACTTGACTATAGACCTTGGACACGGCGATTTCATATGTCCAAGACTACTCTTTTCTGCGCTTTTGACGTAACTTCGCACGCACAGTGACCAAAAAAACAGTACGCAAAGGAGAACAGCAATTACAAAATACACCGTCTTCCATAAATTCCCAATAAACTTCCTCGTATTAAAGTCGTGTTTAAAATACAAAAGCCTCAAGTCGTGACAGAATAAAATGCGAATCAATGCAAATTCACCCCAGGTTACACCACATTCAATTCACTTGTCGCAATACATAATTAAGTATACTTTGTCCACTTGTGAAAAGTGAGAAGTTCTAATTTAAATCTACACTTGTGAAAAAAAAATCTACATTGAATGTCTACTGAATATGCAAGTATTTTATAGGAAAAAAAACGCTCGCGCCAAGAGAGTCTTTTTGGCATCAATCAATTGTGATTTTCTCTCAGCGCACACTACCATCTAATATAGACAGAAATTTGACCTCGAATATTTATGTCTATTTAATTATACTCTCATACGAGCAATTCTTCACTGAGCCACGCAAAATGTGCGTCAATTACACAGCATTTCTCAATCGAAGCATCTTCAGCAAAGTGCAAAGAATTCAGCGCGCGCGCAGGAAAGTGGTGGAAATTTTGATACTCCGCAAATCACGCAGAGAAACAGAAAAAAAATCACATGAGTGGCTGTGAAGCTAAAAGTTTCAGAGGTATGAAGGCAAAATGACCAAGGTCAAGATAATTTTTGGAGTCCATCAATCACACACTGCAAAAGTGCGCCACTGAGAGAGCCTGAAAACAAAGGCCTGGAGATGAGATTTTGAGAGGAAAAGTGACTTTTATGTCCATTTCAGTCTGCAAACAGTCGTTATGCGCCCTCTTTGTTTACTTTTCGCATTTCTCCTCAAGAATATATACACATTCGCTGGCACAGTTGATAAAAAATCCGCACATGATGTAACGATCGTGACAGCGAGAGACAAAGTGTCAAAAGATAGGCGCAAGATGATGTAAATTTTTTCGGGGGCTTGTCCACAAGTCTACATTCGCTTTGGGAAAATGTATCTCTCTGCGGCTTTTACTCAATTGCTGTGTAGGTTATTCAACAATTGTTTACTATTCCGCATAATTTTTGGGTCAAATCGCACACAGACCAAAAGTCATCACCGGACAGATTAGGTTAACTCCCAAAAGTCTACGACCTACGATTTTTAAAAATAGATCTTCTTTCCCAAGAACTCATCATACACTTTCCCTCTCTGCGCTCGGGAACTTTGTTAATACGTTTCTCCTCTTTTTTTTTATTCCTTCTCCGACCCGAACATCGTCAGACATGGCGGCTGTGGACAAAGGTGAGAAATTCCGCGTGTAAATTGCAGATATTCAGGTTTCTCTATTGATTCGATCTTAAGCCTGATCACCTAAATGCCATATAGCGCACACTTTGCCACTCCGCCACCACACACAGCCTCCTCATCTACACCTGATACACTGGAAATATTTATAGCATTGCACAACGTGAGTTTTCAAGTTTTTTTTCTCCTCTCCCTCTTCGCGTCTCTCTTCCCTGTCCCACTCTTCACTCTCTCTCTCGCGCACAGCGAAGATTCGACCACGATCAATGGGTTTTCCAATGGAGAAGTGACCAGAAAAAAAGACGATCAGCTGATCTGGCTTTTATCGCGCTTACAGCTAATGTCTATTTATAATCAGTTGAAAAAATATCTGTTTCTCCGGGTTGGGCGATATTTTTCCACATTTTTTCCAGTTTTGCACACTCAATAGATTTTTTCAAAGCTCTCACGATGCTTTCTGGCAAGTAACTTGATCACATTTGACACTCAATTAACAACATCGTGTAAAGCAGAATATTAGATAGATCATTCTTTGGGATATTTTACAGACACGCCTCTTTTTTCTCAGGGTATTTTACTAATATTTCAATATCAATAATTATTCAATAGTTAGTGGAAAATTACACAAACGAATATCAATATAAATCATCGCCTTCCAAGTTCTCAACAGGACTTGATGAGGATTTTACGTAAATCTAAACGTCGTTAAACATAAGGATAACACTTGATTTTTCCTTTCTCCACTGCTAATTCACATAAAAACAAAATATTTCAAGATAAATATTAGAAATCTTAGATCTTTAGTACACATTCAAATTGAAAATTCATTGAGTAAATCTAGCTGGAAATGATTAAAATCCTTAAGAAATATGTTGACAACTATCAAAAATCACCTGTTATTGACAGATTCATCGGAAGCATCAAGATTCCCTTCAAATATACTTCAAATACTCTAAGAATCTCTATTCATGACTATCAATAGTTATGTGTAATATTGAAAGGTTCTCTCGATCGTGAATTTATTTGACATTTTTAAATCTTTTATGTATTCTTCACGTGAGAAACATAAAACATCATTTTGTCGGTGCGAAGACACAACCTGTTGGGATTTTATTGAGGAATAACTCACGATAAAATGAGTCTTAAAAAGTTCCAGCCCACATTACATCATTTCGCCGATGACTGGAGTGGAATTTTCATGGCAAAAGGGGTGATGAGAAGCCTAAGACGGCTTCAAACGAACATAATTTGAGCATTGAATTCATATATTGGAATGAAAGTGACAATTTGAGTATCATGTGTCAATTTTAATCCAATTGAACTTGATCTCTTTTCGAATGCCTTTCCAATTTTTCGTGTCTGTTCTTTTTTGGCCGACATTTGTAGTGCAGACGGAATTTCGGCTGCTTCGCCCCGCATGTCTTCGTCGCTTCCTATGCGCGGGTGTGAACACACCCTTTTCGCGCGGCGTTTTCTCTGAGTGTACTTCGCCAGCCGGAAGGATTTACTCGCCGCAATTTGGGGTGCTTTTCAGCGCCCTTCCCGCACGATTTGCCCCCCATCCACCACCGCGGAGGCTCTGCTCCCGCACTCACCGACTGTTCTCGATGTTGGTGGTTAAATCCGTGTAGCCGTTCATCTTTACCAGCTCCTGCCGTACTCCAGGTAGGACGAAGAAAATGTGACAGGCGAAAGGACGTGCAATGGGGCTGTGAGAGAAGTGCACTTGGCGGCACTTCGCGCGTTCTCCAACGCTGCGTGTATTGAATTATTTGGGTGTTCAAGAGCACACGAAAAACAAGGCAGACAAAAATTCACTGATGCCAAAATCCACACACAAAATGTTCCTCGCTTTCGGCAACTTCGAGGTGTTTCTCTTTCGGATTGCTCAATTGGGCGCGCACACGTAAGAAAAGGAAGGGATGCGATGGACAAAATGTGGCTATTTTTATGTAATTTCCCGTTCAATTGCGGGATACGTGTCACACGAGAACTTGTCTCCCTCAGCACATCGCGCACACAACACTGAATTCAGGGGCCTGAAGTGTATTTCTCAGGGCGGAGAAGCGAGCGACAAGTAAAAAAAATGGTCAAATGCAACCACCAACACTGTGACCAAGCCCACACACCAAGAGTAAACCTTCAGCCACGGAGCGTTCGGAGAAAACTGACGAGCCGCTCGTGCTTCGGCGCCTTTTATACCGAGCACTTCGGCTGCCGCTGGCGAAGCCGAAAAAAGTCAGGCCACAAATGCGGCGCGCTCATTGGACGACGCGCGCTGACAATCCAGCTGGCGGGCAATTTGAATCGAATGCAACGGTCTTTTTGTCTTTTTGCCCTCCGTGCGCGCGAAAATACAGTCGCGCCCCGGCAAGAACATCTGCACTTGACCATGATTCTCCGCACGATTGACGTCAGTGTGAGAAAAGTGGAGCTGAGCAGAAAAAGCTGTGATTGTTTTGCCATTCTTTGGCTACATTGTCAAAATTACCTCACTCACAAAACACTCCTGAATTCTGCTCATAATGACTGACGAGAATCTTCACCTTTCAATTGGGGTTCTGAGCAAAATTTTTGTGATGCTCGCTGTGATTCTTTCATTAGAGAAGAAACGCTTAGAACAATTGAGCGGAATGTATGATTTATTTAGGTTTAACCGGTTCAATAAAGAGAGGCGGATTCTTCCGCGTTTTATGTGGATTGTACAGATTTCACTTGAAACAAGACGAAATTATTTGCTTTAGCTCTTGCAATTTGCGATGAATTTATAGTTACAATAGAACAAACAAAAAGAAAGAAGTAAATATTGGTTAAGGTGTTGCGTAAACATTTAGAATTCAATTCTATGTGATTTGAATTGAACACGTTTTTGAATAAATACAAAAACCATGCAAAAAATGATTGATAAATTTTATTTCATAACAAGAAATAAATAATTTAATAATTTCTTGTACCTAATATTTAATGAATTTTGATAAATTAAGTGTTCTAAAGTCTTGTGCAAGTATTAGAAAAAGTATTTCATAATGAGAAACAAGATTACTTCCGCAGATTTTTTGCAAATAAATTTTATTATCCAAAACTTGCCTTGCAAAACACTGAATAAAACTGCGACTAAAGTTTATTGTTACCTTGCTTTATTGCGAGCTTAGAACACTGCGAAAGCCAGTTTCTAGATTCCATTCGAGTTTCCATAGAAGATCCTGACAGAGATCCAGAAGACAGCCTTGAATTGACGACTTTCCCACGCCAATTCGCTCAATTTGCCGAGCAATAGAGAAATCAGAGAATCACACAAGCATAATAGCGCGATTAAACGTGCATTAGCTTGCAATTTAGTTACTGGATAACGCAAGATTTCTGCTGAACTTGAATCTCATCAGTTCACTTTGTCCTCGCTCTCGAAAGCGAGCTTCTCTGCTGATTAGATGCATAAACAAACACGTGAGCTTGCAAATGAGATGAAAAGCGATGTCATTTTCCAAAACGCCTTGGCGATTCACGGAAGAAAAGAGCGTTTCTTCTTCATCATCTTCCTTTAATTAACTCTCAAGCTTTTGCCGGTTGTACAAGATCAACAATGGAAAAAGAGTTTTTTTTTATATCCTTAAACTCGAGCGTGACTCTTCTTTGGTATATAAATCTCTGTTTTGTTTGCTATCAAGAAGAAAAGTGTCACTTAAAAGTAGATTAAGAAAGAAACGTACAATTGTGTGCCTTTTTTGTCTTCTTCAAGAGTGTGTTCAATAAAGTCTCCACTTTTATTACCGCTTCTTTCTTCGCACCCGCAAGTAAAAAATATTCTAAAATCACATTATTTAAAATACAGTAAAAGTTTCAGTCAACAATATTTTTTTTCTTCTTCTTTAATATTTTAGAGATGTGTTTTTGCCATTTCATCCTCAATCTTTTCAATGTTCTCTTTAAATTCACAATTGTAACTGTTTCATACTTGGAAGGTTGAGGCGAACAACATGAAATTAACAGTTATTTTGTGCTTTCGCGATTTTTCACTAGGAAAATTCTCACTTAAATAAATTGCTGATTTTTGACGGAGTGAAATTAATTCTAATAGACATTAAATGAGATTTTACATCTAAACATCAACATCACAAATATTCCTTTTTTTTAAATGTTTTCTTTTTCTCCTTTTTCTACACTCGCCGTCTTTTTGTGCTCTGTAATTAATATTTTCCACTTCATAATCTTTCATGTGACTTAAAGTTTTCTCCTTTAATTCTTCATTAGCTAAGATGTAAAAATGTTAACATTCGTATTTTTCCACTTTTTTCCTTGTTTTTTTCCCTCTATTTTTTCATGTTTTATTAATCATATTTTCACACTTTTTTTCTTCCATCGCAACTAAATTCTTCGCTAACTTCTTGTGCTCTTCAGGTGGATTCTTTTTTAAGGGGGGTTTATTTTGATGGTTGTTTGCGCTGTGTTTAGGCTTAACATCGAGGATGTGCGGAGAATATTTTGCAATTCAGACAACAGGTGAAGGAATGCTGAAGAATGTGTCAATTGGAAAAATGCAGATTGTTTGGAGTTTTTACGCCTTTTGTCACAATTCCGCGTGCACAAAGCGCGCGCCTCAGCTCGAGTCTCACCATAAATTCTGTTGCATGCCGAAAGTGTGAGGTTTTCGTGAGAAATGCACTGTCCGAAGGGAAGTTGAGTGTCGGATGAAAAATTTGTGCAAACATTATTTGATAAGATACGGGGCTGTGAAAGGTGATTGTTCCTCTCGAGTGACACAAAAGAGAGCGCAGAGAATTTATGCCAAGACCGAGTACAAAGTCCCTTATATCCTCCCATCGAGTGCTATTGAGGCAAAATACCTTGGCAAACAGAGGCGCTGGATAGAAAAGGGGTTAAGCAGGAGGGTCAAAAACAGTATTTTTGCGCCATCGAAGCCTGTGTTGAAGTTGTTTTTGCCCGAACTTGCAAATAAGACACGCTGGGCGCGCGTGCGAAAGGAAGTCGCACGGAATTAAATGCAGGATTATTAAACACAACGGATTCATTAACAAACTTTTATCATGAATATGCAAGCGACTGCCTTTTCTCTTCATTCCCTGTCACTATCCAGAACATCGCAGCATTTTTTTCATCATGCTGCTCAGCATTACTTTCCACGCGCTCTTCTTTTCCGGAGAGTTTTCATAATTCAATAAATATGGTGAAGATAAATCTTCAAAATACAATTTGATTCTTTAGTTACATTGGAAATTCTTTAATTGTTCTTTTCTTGAGAGTTGAAATGTGATTCAAAGAAGCCGAAAGATCTCTGAATAAATGCTTCACAAGTTTTTTTTTTTATATTACTTATCAACTATTCTTTGCCAGTTGCGTAGCCAAAAACAAGGCGTTAAAGTGCTAAAGAATAGCAAAAGAAATTGTTTTGGCAAACATATTCAATGGAAAACAAGAACTTTTGGACTTTCAAGTCATTTGCTTAAGAGATTATAGAACAAGGGGAAGAAAGTGCGCCTGAAATCTGTACAAAAATTCACGGTCAATGTAAGAGATATTGAATTAAAAATGAAATTCCATCGATAAATCATTTGTTATTGAGTCAAATAAGTGGTCATTATTGGCCCTAATCGGAAAATAACATTGAGAGATATTTAGTAATTCTGTTCCGACGCATTGCAAAATCAAAGAAAAGAGAGACGGTATTAATTTGTCAATGAACTTATTAATAGTTTATGTTGTTCGATAATGAACTCAAAATGGCCAATTTATCGTGGAAAAGGAAATAAAATGCTCATAAAATATATTGTTTTTGTGTATAAATGAATGTTTTGGAATGCAATTAAGTCTGTCTTAAATTAGTTAAAAAAAAACTTTTGCTGAATTGTACACCATTTCCAATCATATTCTCTTCCCCTTGGTTTAAAATACAAAATATTTGAGTGTGGAAATACTTGAGTCAGTTCAAGAGGCAGACCATTTGATATTCGCAAAATATACTTGATGTTTTTGCACAAGACAGAGAAGAATATTCGCGTGACTCAAAGTCCTATTGCGAATTGTCTTCAGTATGAACACAATTATGACTAATAATAATGAAAATACTGCTTAAAAACATAAAAAAAATACTTTGCAATCAAATTGCTACGCCACTGCCTGTTGTGGATAAATTCAATCAATCCACATTCAATACATCGTCTTATTCAAGATTGCTTTCCATCGAAATGGATCATGATGTGTCATTCTAATAAAGTGCTAAACGAGTGAATAATGAAGAGGTGAAAGAATAACATTTGGGTCCCATTTAGATGATTATGGCATTAGAGAAAGATTCACTACACTTTGTAAAAGGTTTTCTTTTGAAGGAAGAGAAATTCTTACATGTACAAATGCCAATGTCCGAGGGATTTGACACTCTCTCCAATCAATTCTGTCGCTATTCAAGTACATATTCAACAAATACATATATATTAATTGTAGGGATTGTATATAAATATATATCATAGAAGAGTTAACGATTTTTTTTTCAACGATAGACTTTTTCTTCAAGTTTTCACAAAGGTTCAATAAATCCCGACTCTCGTCAATCCGAGTTTTTTTAGTCCACATTTTTTCTTCACGCCCTCTCTTTCTCAAGTGATATAAGGAAGAATAGCATTAAATTGACAATAGATTAAATTTTTTTTTCATTTATATATCATTATTATAAATATCATTTCAATATTTTCCTCACCACTCTTAAATGCTTTCAATTGATTATATTATATATTTGGTAAATATTAAGGTGATTAGAGCTTCTTATAAGTATTTTCTTTTTCTTTAATCCTCAGTAGAGTTTTTTACCATCTTCTTTTGCATATGGAGAACAATATAAGAGTAGGCCAAAATCATAGAACACAGAGTGAAATTATTCGTCAAACTGTTTTTTTTTCTCCATAAATTTTCTTAGTGTATAAGAAGTTTTTCTCCTTCTGCTTTTACAAGTAACATTGCCTTAGTGTAAAATATGACTATTTTTCTGACTAGAACAGTTAAGCATTTGATTTCTTGTGGAATTTTCATCTCTTCTTCATATCAACTTGCGATAAAAATCTCTTTGATTCAACACTTATTCAATGTCACACAATGTTCAATGATAGAGAAGACGAAGAAACAATTATATTATTTGCTCGTAAGTCGCGTTAAATGGAAGAAATACATTGGAAAGGTCATTGGAAATTGCAATATATACTTATATTATTATCTTAATTAGAAGATATATTTTTCTTTTTGGATGTATTCACTCCTTGTGCTCTCGTCTCTTGCCCAACCCATTTTCCCCACTTTTCGTAACGTACAAATGCTAGTTTGACTTCTAGAATTGTCAAGTCTTTTATCGAGAAAACTCAGCAAAAACCTTTTGAGATGTGAAACCGACATCGGAAGCTGAAGCACGGTCGAGAAAAGATCTCTTTTATAAAGATTTGAGATAAAAGATGAGAAGTTTGGTTGAAAGGTGGGAGAAAAATTACAGAAACAGCCCATAAAAATGTCACTAAATTGCATTACAAACATCTTTTGTCCTTTGGTAACTTCAATAACCCCTAAAATTACTTGCTTTATTAGTAATATAATTATTAAATTTTGTCTTATTTGCCTTTTAGGTTTCACTTCATTTTTTCTTCTCTTCCTTTACGCCTTACAAATAAAAGCCACCGATTTTTTTTCCTTAGTCGTGTCTTCATTTTTGGAAGTGTTTCTCTCATCATTTACTCTCCCTCCCTTCCTCAAATTTAAATGTAATTAAAGTCATGCTGCACGATTTTACCTCACTGGCTTTGCTGCGTGGTGGAATTTTGCTGTAGGTTTGGTGGTTTGTAGAACATGTGAACGAATTGCGAGAGACTGTGCACCGAACCCGGGCCTTTTCCCTGCGTCATGCAAATGAAATCATCCAGACTGTGAGATGTTCCTGCAAGAGAATGAACATGTTAGCAACAGAAGCTTCAGTCAGAGCGCCGACAGTGAAAGTGTCACCATTCGTTGCGATAGGCGGATAAGGTGGTGGCGGCTTTATCCAAGTGTTGTCAGGTCTGCGCATATGGCGTCGATCAGATGCAAACTCCGCCAAATACTCCTCAGCCGGAATCACACGAAAGACTCTGTTGCAAAAGAAGAGAACAATCATCAGCGCCTCTAGCGATAACCTGACAAACTTCTGTTGTTCAGAAGAAAATCTCTATTTTCCAAAAGCTTTCAAACAAATCAATGAGAAGAGAAATCGGACAATAAGAAAGCGAACCACGTCCATTTTTACCGTAAAATTCAAATAAATAATCTTCAAATCGGTAACTTTCACTTGAAACGTCAAAAACACAAGATGGCGGATTTCTATTAATCGGAACATTTGTTTCATCTTACAGGAATCATTGAAATCAAATAACTAAACGTGAAATATGATTATTTCTACGTTATAATCATTATATTCGTCGATCCACTGTCATTAGAAACGTCAAAACTCCCAAGATGGCTTCTTCAATCTAACATCTCGTCATTCTAAGGACGCACGAGCTTCTGTACAAACCCACGTGCAAAATGTCAGTACAATTTCGCATGACATTTGCTTCTCGCATTAAAAAGGCCAGTGTAATGACATTGTTAAGGAAAAAATGCTCATGCAAAAATGTGCGCATGAGGAAAATTTAATGAGTTTCATTACGCTCTACAGCTGAGGAGGGAAAGTTTTCCGCATAAAACTTTGTCACAGTTGCTAATTGAGTTGAACTTGTCGATTGAAAGGGAGAATTTAATTAATAAAATTAGGAAAATGCCTCTTACATAGCGAACGCTTATGTACTTTTTCACCGTGTCCCAATTTTCAGCAGCGAAAGAGAGGGAGAGAAATTTCCCTCTCACCCCCAGGAATGTCTCAGGACATTCTCTATGTAATTTATATTGCTAATATAGGCCAAAGTATTTTCATCACACATTTTTTCAGCTATGCCAAAAGATATTCTCTCTGTCTAAAGTTTTCCTCGCGTCTCTGTCATCTCAGGAATTTCTCAGTTTATATGGCCTATAACAAATATCGCCTTTGCCTCACTCTATCAATATTTTACGTCTGACGTGCTTAAAGCACTGACAACACATTGGAAATTTATTCAGAGTGCATTCTGTCTTTCTCATTCAATCATTTGTCATTAAATTGCTTCCTCCTTTGGAGTGCAAACAAAGCCTGCGTCGGAGGAAAATCAATGTTTGACTATTTGCGAGGGAAAATCCTTTACATTTAATATGGCAACAGTTTCCCACGTGGATTCCAAGGGAATCTCATTTATTGCTGTAATTAAATAAAATCGTAAAGTACCTAAATTACAGCCAAGGGGCCCCTTATGTTGCGCTCATTTCGCCGACCAAAGAGTGTTAAATATGAAAATAAACAACCACTTTTCGGGACTGCTCAATTAGGAAAAGGGAAATTCGCTCTCATTCAGAATTCTAAATGAAAAACATATCATTTAGGAGGACTTTCCCCCTGAGAGAAGGGGAGAAAGCACTGAGGAAAATAAAGCACAGAACACTGTTTTTAGTCATAGAATAGAAGGATATTTGCTTATTTATTTGTTGTTTAATGAATCGTGAAGCCACGCCCATCAATAAGCCCCGCCCACATATGATTTTCCTGCTCTCAATTCTGTATTTTTTCCCCAAAAAGTGCTTTGAAACAAACCCCAAATATTTTTTTCTCTATCCAGAACCATTCGAAGATAATTTACTACACTTTTCCAAGGGGTTTTCCCTGTTTTCTCAAGCATTTTGCATATGATTTATTTAAGTACACACTCGTTTTTTTCTTCTTCTATCAAATATCCATCCTCCTTTAAGTTTAGGCACTTTGCTGCCGTCTTCTCGCTTAGAGTGCCTTCGGAAAAGCCATCAATTTACCAATATCCTGATTGAATTTCCCTCACACTCGCATTCTTTGCCGTGCCAAAAGTGACTTGGCGCAAATTCCAAAAGATGGATATACGTGTAATTTTTGAGCACTTGTTGCTATAGGAAGCTATTTTCTTGCGCCCCTCCCCCCTGCTCTGTCTCCCCAGAGAGAAAGAAAACGAAAAGCATCGCCAGAAGGTGGATCAATTGCGACGCCATTTGTGGCGGTGTTATGTGTGGCATAAAATTACCTGTGGTGCTCCGGCCGCAGCGCCAAATCTGACCGGAATGTCTCGGTGACGTACTTGTGGAAGTACGTGGGGAACGGCAGAGTGGTGTCCAGGTCGTACACCAGGCATCTATTCTGTCCTACGCAGTGCATAAAAAAGACATGGTAATCCTGAAAAATAACGAAGAGAGAACAACTCCTATTATTGCCCATAATACCCTCTCCCACCCTCTCTCTCTCTCTCTCTCGCCCTCCCCCGCTCAGGACACTATTGCCGCACACACAGAGTGAAATAAACACGACGCTTTATTCCTCCCTTATTACTTCCCTTCGTCCTGCGTGTGAGCATTTGCGGCGGAGATGGAGCAGGATTAAAATTTTGATTTACGCTTACACGCGAAATGATTAAAATATTCCGTGTGCGGCTGTCTCGTGCCACAGTCACATTAGCTGACCGGATTGGCGGGCGGAGAGGCGGCGGCGGCGAAAAAAAATCTGGGGGTCAATCGCACTCGCGAATGGCGCAGAAGAAGCCTTGGAAAATGCGCCGCTATCTGCCAAGATGCCCTCTGTCATCCCTCCTTGCGCGCCCCCAACCCGCAAAACACGATGATTGATGAACTGTGGGGCGGGAAAGTGCAGAGAAATCCACCCATTTCCAACCGCTTCACTCCTTTTTCACCGCCTCTCAGCGCTCCTAATGCGGATAAGGAAGATACAGTGCTCAATGCTCAGCCTCTTTTGACATCAACAGTTTTCACTACAAATAAGCTTTCCTTCGAAGCTCCATCAGAGATATAATAGAAATACACATTTTTCTCAGCACAGATGAAAAATATGTTGTGATATTGATTACTCCCTCGTTTGACCTCTCTTTGCAATCTTCCTCACAAGTCTGGCGGAATGATTTTCAATATTTCTCCTCTTCACATCATATCAAACTTATGTCAAACTCAATATTGTAATCTTGATGTGTTTCGAATTGAAAATACTCAATATCACTTTTATGGTCATGACTAAATTCGTCGAACAATCGAAGAATATATCAATAAATGATCCTATTTAAGCTTTATTCATTCATAAAATGCGACTCTTAATACTTCTAATCAGTCGAAAATTTAATCTTAGAAACTCCAAAAGTGTTTTTTTTTTTGTACTATTTATTCCAGTTTGCAATAGAAAGAATATGTATTCATTGAAATACTTTAAAAGCTTAAAATGAGATTTAAGCCTTAAATACAAATAAATTCTTTATCCTCATGAACAATTAATAATCCTGCGAAGTTTAAAGTCTTTAATCTCTTATCGATACTTTCAAATTAAATTTTATCGAGAAATTAAACATTCAGAGTTGTTTTTAAAGTATGATAAATGAAGTTTAAAGCTTTCAGGGTTCCTTTAAATTAATTGATTTGAAAATTCACATCTTGTTTCAGGACTCTTTGAGTGCTTGACATGAATATTTTAAAAAGCTCTTAGCAAGTTATCGAATGCTTAATTTAGAACATTTTGGAAAAGAGAAAAGACTTTTCAGCTGCACTAAGACGAATATTCAATTCAAAATATCAGCAAAAGAATCTTTAAGATGAGAAGCGAAGTTTAGAGAGCAAATATACATAAGAAGCTCTAAAAAATTCCTTTTTTTCTTTTATTTTGTGTTGAAATTCCAACATGAATCGAGTTAAGAAGGGAAAAATTGTAAAAACAGTTTGCGTGAAGAAATTTCTCTTTCTTTCAGATATGATTCTTAGCTATTTTTCGTTGATTTCATGAGCCAAAAGTCGATAAAAAGCTCTAAAGGATGTTTGTGTCAATCCTGCAAGTTCTTTTATCATTTTTTTGAGTAAATATATTAATTCTCTCAGCGCCTTGCAATTACCATAATAGAAATAAAACGAATTGACTAATGAGGAATTCCCGGAACCGCAGATGACGAGGAATGAATTGCTGAGTGATTAATTTCAACTCTGCGAAGGGCTCGGAAGCCATTCAGCGACTCAATCATTTGGCGCTTAGGCCGGAAAACTCACCCATATCACAACTTTGTCATCACCGCGTCCCGCCTTTTGTCTCCACAGCGGCACCGTGCGTCCGGCGTTGGAGACGAACACCGAGTAGCACTTGGGCAGCTCGCCGGGGTTGTTCTTCTTCACCTGCTCGCACAGCTTCCACACGTTCTCCTCGCTGCAAGAGCAAGCCATTAAAGTCACATCAACGTGCCACGGCGGGCTGAGGCACACAGGGATGCTCCGGCGGAGCTCGGGGCCGCCATGGTGGCGGAGAATTAGGTCAGAACGATTACCATGCAGATGAAATAATCAATATGGAAGTGGAAAGGCGGGCAAAGGGCGCCTCGGCGGCCCCAGGCGTTGCCCAGTGGCCACTCACCAGTAGCAGGACACGTAGGAGCACTCGGCGATCTTGGGAAAGACAATGAAGTCCTGCGTCATGGTGAAGGAGCGCCCCAAGTAGCCTCAAAACTCCCGGATGCTCTTCCTTCTGTTTATCTCTTTCTGTTGTCACTCCTCGCCTGACCAGACAGTCGCTCCCCCAGGGAACGATTAGACGGTGTGTGCGAGTGGTGCGTGTTTCCCGGAAAAAAGGGGGCGCCGCGGGGGGTGGGGGGACGCAACGCCAAAACACAACACAAAGAAAGTCACCTGGAGTGAGCGCTAAATATACTAATTTCACACTATCTAATGCTACTCAGTGGTGTCTCTCCGCAAGCAGAACAGCTGACATGACTAACTACACGAGAAAACTGCGTTGCACGCACTTTTCCTCACAGGTTTTCATGGATTTCGTAGCGGATAAACTCTCCAAATACTTCCATTCCCGCACCGAATGTCGCGCACTGTCGATAAACTGGCGAATATGACGTTGTGACGTCACGTGAAAATCGATGAGTCGACGAATCTCGCGCGGAGACCTCTCGCGGAGATTTCACGCCAGACTCTCTGGCAGGAATTTTGAAGAGTGTAACGATCGAGAACACGTGTGAGAAAAATCCTTTTTGTTTGCATGAACACAGACAAATTTATTTGAAGACCATCGCATTATCCGCAAAGTACAGCTTTACAGGTGTGGAGGAAAATTATTGCATGAGTCGGAAAAACAACACAACGACTAGCTCTGCGGCAGCGCTCACTTCCGGCCGGCGTAGTAGAGGCCAGGATTGCGATAGGTGTCCGAGTGCATGGGCACCAGGGCGCGCACGCGGTTGGAGGGCCGGTACTGCCTGCAAATACGAGGACAGAGTCTATCAGCGAGGCTTAGGGCGCTTCCTGGGCGCATTCGGGGGCCAAGAGGGAAAATCGCAGAGTACCTGATAGCGTGGAGGAAAGCTGCGGTTCCGCTGGGCTTCACTTGGCTCTCGTCCACGTATTCTGGGTGGAAAGAGAAGAGATATCAGTGATAAATTCTCTTGTGCTCAAGAGTACTTGATGAGAAGTGATGCCAATTATATGCGTTAACCCTTTCACGGTGGTAAGAAACTGGGCGGTAATAATAAAAAGAACTGTGTCTTTCCCTGAATACTTAGGACAAGAAAAGAAATTTTTATAGGGATATTATGGCCTGAATAAATGTTTCAAACAATCACAGAAAATTATACGAAATTTATAAACCGCGAAAAAACCTTTTGTCTACTTTATTTTCGCGCCAAAACCGTTTAATGGTCAAAAGGACCACTTGTTCTATATTTTATCTCTAGACCCGTTGAGATGCTAATTGGATAAAATTCCTTTTATTTGTTCCTTCTCTTCTATGTTTTTGAGACAACTCTTAATTCTCTATCTCGAAAACCTGGCAAAGTCAATTAAACATAAATTTTACGATGGCCTGATATTCATTTGCAATGCAAATTTGTGGAAAATACGGAAAATACTGAGTGTAAAATTTGTGATTGTGTTGATATTGATTTCAACAGCACTTCTTGGTATATTAAATTCCGCGTGAAAATTAAGGAGAACAATAAATAGTCGTGTTGACCTTGTTCAATCAATCAGTTGAAGTAGGAATTCAACACTTTGCGGAAAACAGATCCAATTAATTACTGCTTTGAGTAAAATGAAACCAATTTCCTTATGTTATGTTAATGTTAAGTTTCCTGGTAATTAAATCATTTGTCGCATTCCATAAGGACGAAAGGGCGAACCGTATTTGAAGTTCTCCGGCGGCGTGTTGGACGAGGTGAGGAATCGCACTTGGTTGGGCGTCAGCGACTTGGACTCGAGGCTCTCCAGATTGTACTTGAGGTTGTCAAAGAAGCCGCGCAAGTTGGTCAGGGCGCCTATGAAGTGTGGGAGATTTGTGAGAGTGGGTGATGAATTGCGTGCAGCGCAATTAAAATCATTCGTCATACGCACCGACACTTATTGAGGGAATAAATTGCTCCTCCTTGCTGCTCTTCTGCGAACGGCGCGCCATCGAGGCCCGCAGGGTGCTCCGCTTCTCGCCCGTGTCGCGGACGTCCAGGAAATTGCCCAGCGCCTCGGCGCTCGCGTCCATGTCATCGTAGAGCGCGAGTTCTGGGTCGGCGGAGGCGCGCGCGACGCCGGAAGCTGGCGATGATGAGGGCGAAGGAGTAAAGATGTGAGCCCATAAATAAACCATTTGCACCCCCGTGGATGAATTGACTTTGATGTGGCTTCTCGTCACCGTGAAGCTAATTAATTAGGGACTTGGACGTTAATACATATTTTATTTCGTCACGCAGAATCATGCCGGAGTTGATGTCTGCAGAGGAGGAATTGCCATGGCCGTTCTTCCCACGGAAAGTGGAAAGAGTTGAGCCTGAATCTTTCATGCAATGACAATGGCCGCAAGAGCTTCGCAAATTGATTCACAAACGCTGGCGAATGCTTTAAATACCGCCAGACGAGGGCAATTTTCCCAGGAAAACGGTTATATGAGCAAAAATTCATTCAGGACTTCTTGAAAAGTCATTCTGTTGAATTGTTGATAAAGAAATTGCCTTGTATTACTTTCTTAAAATTGTTATTTGCAATGGTTGAAATCAAGTGCTTATAAAAAATCATTTGCAAACATTGAACGTTCAAAGATAAGAATAAATTTTTAGCACAAATTTGAAAATTTGGGAAGTTTTCCTGAAATATGCAATAAGACTATTACAATAATGTAATATCAAAGAATGAAAGGTGAAAAATTGAAATAGGTGCACAAAACATTACTCAAAAATGTTTTTTTGCAAAAATGTGCAAATTTTTCATATAGTTTGTGGTTGTAGATTTATTTTATGAACCATATTTTTTTTTCTTTTTGAGTAATAATTTGAGTTCAAATCAAAGCAAAAATAGTTAGTTATAAAAATTGTGAAAAAGTTTTACAATTGAAGGCAAAGAAGTGTAATTTATACATAGAATTTTTGGATTTCTGCGTAGAAATGAATAACTTTCAACCAATTAATTATGTAAAGAGTTGAGATTTCTTGCTGAAATTTTTGAGATTCTGTGCCAAAATGACGAGAACAGTTAATTAAATACTCCTGTAGAGAAAGCCATTGACGAAAATAAATTAATTTCCCGGATTCTCCCTCGCAAAAACCACGGAATCTAGTCAAACACGGTGTAAAACCACATGAAAGTCCTTCAATCCACGCATTCTCGCTTTTCCCACACTCTGACCCAGCATTTTCTGACTAATTGCTGTCCAGAATAGTCGTCATCTATTTGCATTCTGGGGAATGAAATTTGATATGCCTCTTGAGAAGTAATTTCTTAATTGACTCCCGATTGTTCTTGGAGCTTCCTTTGTGTCTCTGTGGGCGGATTTACGCTTCTTGGAAGGCCACACTCACACTTTTCCCGGGAAATTGGGTGGTTTTTCGAAAAAAAAAGCCAACAATCATACGGGGAAAAACTCACCAGAGAGAAGAGCTAGGAGAACAACACAGTAAAGGGACATTTTTCACATAAATTTTCACAATTTCTGGCTGATTTTTACACACTCTTTGGAAAGCACGCACTTTTCCTACCGTTGCGGTAACCTGTTGAAAGTCAAGTGAGATGCACATAATCAGCCTAATCATTTATATGGCAGCACAATGCGCCCACAACGCACATGCGTGAGACTTTTTGTTTGGTGACAAATCTGCTAAAGTCAGCGAAATATCCAACAAGTGGGCGGAAATTGTCTTAATCAACCTTATCAATCAGTTCATTGGGAATTTTTATCATCCCCAATGACTTGCACTTTGATTTATTGCCTCTTCATCGCATTGATTATGCGTGATTAGGGATTTTTGACCACCGCAAGGGATAATGAACTCTGTCTTTGGGTGGTCTTTGAGGGTGTTTTTTGGAGTGTTTCATGGCTGGAATCGTGGGTGCACGTACAATAGGTGAATAAGAAGAATTAAGGAAGCTCTTTTACAAGAAAATGTCTGGTGTTACTAAAGAAATTGCAGGGAAATTTGCGAAATCCAGCGATACTTTCACGACAAGAGTAGTCAACTCATCGACATTTTGAAATCTGTTCGACAGGCGCCAAGTGCGTTGCGCGTAATGACCGCTACGTGTCGCATGTGACACGATGTTTTTGTCAATTCTCTGTTTATATTTTGTGGAAAGAAGATTTTGATACGGAAATCTACGCATAAAATGCCCTAAAATTGGCTGGATAATGCCACGGAGTGCGACGAGAGGAACCCAAGTTTAGCCCCCGAGTGGTGTGAGGTGTGAAAATTCGCGGAAAAGTGCGTCCAGACGTCGCAGAGAAGCTTCCTGGCTGAACAAGTGAGTCGCCCCATTGATTTTTTATCTCCGCCACACGAAAATTTGTTTAGCGAGAGAGCTTTCTGGGGCGATATGACAGCTTATTTGGGGGACCTTTTTTGCCCACTCTGTGTGCGCCAGATAATCTGGCCAAGGATGTTTGCCGTGTTGGCACAGCACTTGTCGCGCGCGATTGGGGGAAAATAGTGTTCCAGAGTTCTCCGGGCGCAGAGATTCTGGGCCTCTCTGGCTGTCCCGTGTGAATGTTTACGTAACCGGTCGGGCCTCTCGCTCTATCTCCGCACAGAGGTTTTAATTTTATTGTCAAGGCGAGGCGATGATCAGCGAGATCCCCGCGAGACGCGAATTAATCCGACCTTGGCGTGTATTTCTGGGCAGAAGCAGCGATTCTCGGGGAGCAACTTTCCGGAGGAGAGCGCCCCATCTGTTGACCCAGCAATTATCACCAGACGCTGCAGTTGCCCTAGGAGCGCTCGCTGTTTCGGCGGTCATCAACCTCTGCGGTGTTCCTCGCGCGCGCCTCTGGAGCGCCAGAGTCGCTCCGGTTCCGCGGGAGCGCGCTGCGACCCTCGGAAAGCGCTTTCCCGCGTCACCAGCTCCGCGGCTCAAGTTCAATTTTTAGAGGCAAGGTCAGGGGCGCTCGTCAGCTGCACAAAGGGAATGCGAATGTGGCTCGCAATTCCCTCGATATCGAGCGTGATTCACTTTCGCATCTTGGCGAGACACACAGAAAGTGGAAATAGAACTCTGTTTTCCTCCAATTTGCCTGCGCCAAAGCGTCATGTTATCAAAGCACCGACTGTTTACGGATATATTCGTCAATAAGTGACGTCAAGAGCAAGATTTTCCAGGTTTTTTCCCCAATGGCAGAAGGTTAATTGTAATTGACCACTGTTGGATCGTGATTTTGCAGCACTTCCGCCACCTTTAATGCTCTATCGCGTCATCTTCCGAGTTCTAACATCTGTGACCGAAATAGTGTGTTTCTCTGAGTGTTCTTTGACATCTTTCTTCAGTTTTTCGGTGCATGTTGAGAATCTAAATCACCTACCGTTCTATGCGTAATTTAGGTAATTTGTAAGAATGAAGAGAACGCGGGAAAGAAAGTCTTAATGGCTCTGGAAATATTTTAGAATCCACATTTGATGAAAACATAAAGTTTCTGGCCAGGTTTTTCACCTCAAGATACTGATTAAAATCCTGCAAAGTGTCTCCACTTGAAGGAATACAAAAGACGAATTACAAAGCTTCTTATCGTTTCCCTTCCACTAATTTAATTGAGAAGATTGAACGATGTTTACTTAGGATTGTAATCTTTAAAATACCGAACATTTCTTCTTCGTACTGCTTTAAATTGTCTCTTGGAGATTTTTTCTTTTCTTAAAATCCTTTTTTGAATATTAAAATTTTTGCATATTTTCATCTTGATAATTAAAAATATAAAAATTAGACGTGAACCAAATTTTACTCGCTAAATAAATAATTTCCTGCTGTCCAGTTTTGGGAGTAATTAATAATAGTTTTTAGCGTTCAATTAGATCAGATTCATGACGCAAAAGAGACATCAAACGCTTGTAACTTTATTTCAGAGCCCCGCCCACTTCGTTGCCCCGCCCATTACTTTCGCCGTTGTTGCTTGACAAATTACCAGTGTTCGGGATTTATTTGACTTCATCTGTGAAAAAGAATAAAATAAATCAAATTCAGTATTTTTCGTAAAGAATTTGCGTTTATTTGAATTTGGGTTACTATAAGTCATTCGCAGTTTCCTGGATTTTACAAGCATTTTTCCCTCTCTCTTAAAGCTTCTTTCAATATGAACGTTTATATCTGTCACCGAAATGTATGCGAAGCGGACTGAATTGAGGTTTGATAGAGGTTAAAAGCTTGTCGTTTCTCCTTCAATGTGGCTTTCTTTCTCTCTCTTGTCGGATGTGTCAGAGTGTTGGTCTAATTTGTATACAAATATTTTCCCTCTGACACTCTTGGAAGCCATCCAGATGATGTCAAAATCGGTGACTTTTCAGCAGATAGAGTGACACTCTTGCATTCGTGCAGCGTTTTGGGCGGCCAATCAAACGGTGTGACACGATTAATTTGTTACAAATGAGCGTTTCGCATTACCATATATATAAAAATAGAGATTTTGGAGATCTGTGCGCGGGTGAGAAAGGTGGGGGTTGAAGAAAATCCACATGCGAAGAAAATGCTCTAGATTTCGCAGTGTTACTTATTTGTCATTGGCTATCGTGGGACAAATCGCCAGATTTAGCTGTGAAGGCGAGCAGTTTTTGCCTTGTCATTTTCTCATTTACGGATCCGCCAAGAGTGTGTGTGATAAAGAAAATGGGGAAAAGGAGCGGAAGGAGGATTTGCCGGGCGAGACATAGGCGAGTGTGAGAAAAAGGGATTCGCACAGTTGTTCCGTCAGACACACCATCAAAATCCAACGAGATTGCAAAAATGTTGCGCAGTCCAAACGTGATTTATACATTTACATAAGAATGGATCGGCTGGAGATATAAATGGTGAGCTGGTAGTGATACGGGGAAAAGCCATGGAGATGAAAAAGAGGGCCTTCGCTTACCAGATTTTCTGTCGTGTCTGCTCAATTTGGCTATTTGTCTATAACGTACACCGCAATTTATTTCTGTTTACACAATATGAGGCATGATATTTGTGCATTGGTTTGCCTTATTAAGATTTTGGGTATTTTTCCGGTCCATCGTCTGGATTGCAAGGAAAAGAGCGCTTTGCGTGGGAGTTGAGGCTCTCTGTATTTGATAAATCAAAGAGGAATTTTGGCCTTTTGTTGCCTCCTTGGCATTAAGTTAATTTGGCAGGAAATAATGTCGATTAGGGATGAATTCAATCTCCGCATATAATATAGACTTCGACCCATTTATTTTCGGGGCACACAATGAAATTATACCCCGAAAATTCTCAACATTCCAATATAACAGAAGAATATGTGTCAAGAATGGCATGAAAAGTCATTTAAAATGCTTTGATTTATCTGAAAAATTCGCTTTAGATATGCTGGATGTGATAATGTCGTAAAAATATGAAATCCACATAATTCACTCGTCTGAGTTAATTACGCACATTTCTTGTATCTCTCAACGATGTACAGCAATCGATTATGTTGTTATTAAAAGGCTATCAAGATGATTTGATGAAATGGGGCGCTCTTGGCTTCTGGGTGATGTGAGATTCTTTAAAATGGCAAAATAATTTGGCAAGTGCAGAGTTGATTATTTTGATAAATTGCTCTGTCTCCGGTGTGACTGATTACGTGTATAGAATCGTCCAGGAGAATCTCATAATAGCTTGAGTGGATGAGAGAATTCACATGGAGTGATATATTACATTTGTTCCACCTCTTGTCACATCTAATATTAGATTAGGGGTGTGATTTTGGATAGTTTGCCTCCAGATAATGATGAGATTTGATGTATTTGCGGAATTTCTTACTGGTGTTTCATTCTAAAGAGAGAGAGAGAGAATCTGTGTCTTGTTTACATAATAAAACTTTGAGTTCCTCATGAACTTGAACTTCTGTTCTTAGAGTGTTTATCCGATTTCGATAAATCTTGAGCTCTGGGAAGTGCTGAGAAATTTGGGAAAACTCTTTCAACACTTGGAAGGTCTTTGTGGTGAAAACGACAGTTGAATGTCGTTAAATTTTAAACTGGAGAAAACTCAATTTTCTCTCAAGAAATTCACCTGGAAAATGCTCAGAATCCATGATTTTCCAGCTTCAGCATTCAAATTGCTTTTCTTTAACGGTTTAAAGTTACGTTTCTAATCTGGAAATTTCGTATTTACCCTAAAAATCTCAGTTTATCATTCTGTAGTGAATCTAATGCGCAAAAAGACAAGTAATCATCTCTCTTTCCTTCCGTTGTGGTTTAATAAAAGTGATGAAATTGATAAATTTTTTGCTGCCTCGCATGCGAAACCCAAGGCTATCCATATCCACTTCGCCACAGGCTTGTGCTCTTGTCCTGGGCTGCTGGAGGAGAAAAGGAATAAGCTCTTGATAGCGGAAATTTGTACATCTGGGCGGATATTTAAGACGAAAAATAATAGATTAATTCAATTATCATATAATATGCTCAGGTAATTATGGAGCTTTCCACGGGCATGCCGGAAATTGTATTATGTGTCTTCCTATGGCAAAGTTCTATTTGTGGGTGTTTTATCACAAGAAGAAATTGAGATGTTGGAGATGGAAAGGAGGACACTTGGAGATGTTCTCTC